CAGGAAGCAATCACTCTTCAAACAGACCCAGAGGTATATGCAAGAGAGAAGGAAAGAATATGGCTTCTAATTCTGTTTTATGATCAATTGCTATTGTTAATAGGAGACTCAAATAGGAGACTCAAAATTTTGAGGCAGTTGCTAATGAAACACTAATGGTGGGTGAACAGCCAGAGGGGGAAAAGGCCCCTGGTGAAACCTGGTCAGCCCCACTTGCAGAGCCAGTGCAAAGGACAGTGGCTTCCCAAAAGCCATAGTGGTGACCTGGTGTTTTAGAGCACTCAGATGCTGCTGGTGGAATGAATTCGGCAGTGGATTTATCATGGAAAAGATTCAAGCCAAAGAAATGATTCTTGCAAGTGGCAGAACCCTATGGATTAAGGCAGGAGACATTCAAAATCTTACATAAAGCACACAGAAATCTGGAACAGGTAACATACTTCAGAAGACTTGATTAGAAAAATAACTTAGGGATATACCCCAAAAATACATGCACAGGTGATTGATTACCTTTGCTTCAGCTATCAGTTATCTGATACTAATTCTCACTGTTTCATGAGAACTCTTGCAATAGATTGTGCAGGCTCACAATTCTCCATTTAGCACCAAAAAAATCCAGACATTCTGCAAAAAGGATGAGGCAAAGACTCTGGAAGAACGCATTTAATTCAGCTACAAGGAAAATCACACTATATTTTTTACATATTTGTATTTTTAAATAAAAGGCCTGATATTGTAGTCCCCACGTAGGTAAATTCTTTGAGAATTTAAAAAAGGTGCCTCACTCAAGACACCAGGACAAATCTGAAGAAATGTTCACATATTCTAAGATTTATACTAAATCTTCCAAATTGAACTAGCAACTGATAAAACAACTTTCTAACTTTGCTACTATGAGGAACCTTTTTAAAACCTCAAACTTCAGTGCAAGCTCAGAGCACTTGTTTTACAAGTGGAGCATCTCACACGTGTGAAAAGCTGCTTGGTATTGTAACTCCAAGGCTCAGCTAATCAAGCCTAACAAAAGAAAGAACCTAAATATGCACGTAAAGAGCACACACATTTATCATTAAAAAAAGCAACACAAACCCAGAAAGGTTTGTGCAAGGAGTCCTTGCAAAATAACTCCACTTGGTGTTTTAGTATCAAAGCACTGAAGAACAGCACCTTCCCAGTTACCCAACCCTTCTCCAGGGATTCTCACAACAGAAGAGTGATCTGTGCATTTGAGCTCATTCCTCATCATGTTGAACATGCAAATGCCAAGAACTCCTGGAAAAGGCACTGTATTAGGGAACCACAGGTATACTTGTAAGCACAAGCCCCCATGCAACGTGTACTATGCACCTGTGTATAGAATATAAATATGCATACATGCATGTAAGGAAATCAGAAATATTCCTCCTTTAATACAACCATGTTCAGCCTCAAACTGCAGCTCTCTGACGTGCTAAAGACTTTGGAAAACACAACCTTTGTCTTTAATACAAGGACAGACCTGCTGTGGGGCAGGGACCCCCAGCTGCCCCCAGGGAACCTGGCACCTTCTCTGCTGCCATCGGGGAGGGACCCCCGGCTCTGCCAGGCTCCACCTCCTCAGGCTACCAGCAAAGGAAACAGTAGCTGAAACAGGGACAGACGGGGAGTTTGAGATGCTGAAGAGGTGGGGAGGCAGCATCAGGCCCCCTTCCCCCTGCAGGGCTTTCCTCTATTGCCCAGGACCTGCTCCTCCCAGCTCACCACCCCTGCCACGGGCACATCCACCCTGCAGCTCCAACACCTCTTCCTCTTTCTCCATGGCAATATGCTCCCAAGCCTTCCAGGACTCTCTCCTACTCCACTTCCTTCTGAAAATCACAGACAGAGGGATCAGCTAGACCAAAACTTAAACCAGCACAAATGTGAAATAAAAGGTAAAAAAAAAAAAAGTCTTTCACTCTTACTGGACATGCTGCAGACATTGTGCCTAGTAACTGTGGCAATATCTAGTGCAAAAGAAACTTAGCATGAATCTCTTGTTTTCAAATGACATTCAACTCAAACATGCATAGGGAGAGTAAAGTTATTTTATTAAATCATGCACATCACGTGTGTTAGTGCAAATAGTTTAATCTGTACTCCAGAAATTCTATTGTATTTTTATATCTTTACAAAATAGATTTAAAACAATTAATTACTTAAAAAAATGTAATTCTGAAGTTAAGCATTTCAGAACAATATTTGCAATAACCTATATACAAGAGGTACTAAGTACCACTGGCATACGAGTGTTCTGTGGTTGGGTGGCTTCCTGCAACTGAAAAGGATGAAAAGGATGAAACGAATGAACTAAATGACAATAGTTATTTTCTACAAGTCACTTGTGGACTATTTTCTCCAACTAATAATCCTCCCATTAGCAAATCCCATGTAACTTAAGATAGAACCTTTAATTAAAGGACAATGACCCTTAAAACCTCACAAAGTAAATTATATACTAAATTTCTATTTAAATATTTAAACTATCTGTCGATTGCCATAACATTCTTTAAAGCCAATTGAATTGCTGAGATTACCTCCCTATTTTGAAGTTTCCTTTAGCAGAGCCATATCACTTTACCATTCTTTAACATATTATTTAAGTCTTTATTAAACTTTTTTGACAGAACTGTTGAGCTGAACAAGACAACTACTGTCGACATTTAATTCAGCACTAACTACAGTGATTCCCACCAAAAGTCAGCAAATAGCAATAGTTATAGTACTTAGATAAGGAAAATAAACTTTGTAATGGGGACCACTGCATCATACTTACAGCCATGTGATAAGGAGCCACAAAATTTTACTACCAAATTAAAATCATCTTCACCTGACAAGGCTTCATCAGGTATATGATTCCAATTTTGTAGTATTTTATGTATCTAGATTTTCTCAGCTATCACAGACGTACTGTAGCAGTTCTCTTAATAAAGTTACGTCCACAAAAGCTTATTCTAAAGAGCTTCTCCAGCTCAAGTCAGAAGGTATCAAATGACTGAAAAAATAAACTGATACATGTGATATGTGAGAAGGTATTCATACTTTTAAAGAACGTATCTCTTTAAATATATGAAATTCAATAAATTACATTCAAACTAAAGTTAACATAAGTTGAATCAATGCACTATGTCCATCAAATGACCAAGTACTTGCTCCCAGAAACACCTTGGTTCACTCAAGAACACACACATGCTGACACTCGCACACGCGCACACTAAATACTTGAGGCTGGTCTTCACCATCTGCATCTCTATCTCTTTAAGGCTGGACATGAATTGTGTTTATTCCCAAAACCCATTAATAAAGCAATCCTTATGAAAGAAAAATATGCTTCCTTCGAAAGGCGTAGTAAGAGAAGTTTTCTTATGTCTTGTTCCCAACAGCTCAGTGACTAACAGCAAGTAAAATGATACACTAGTTTAAAAAAAAAATAGATCATACTGAAAGGCACTGAGCATACTGCATCTGTTTCCCAAGTATCTGCAAGGTTACTTGGCTTGGATGTCCAAATCAGTATTTTCCTTTTAAGTCTAGCAATTGGATTCTAAAGTCAGTGTCCACAACCCTAGCCATTATAAATAATTTGGTACCAAGAAGCCTGCTTTAGGCCACCATTATAGTACTCAGAATCCCAACATACTAATTTAAAACTTGCATGAAGTTGTAAGCAAAAATATTGCTCACAGAATGATGAATCACAATTTTATTCCCTCTTTATAGACAGATACATTTTATACAGTTTAAAGCAAATGACCCTACTGCTGTTCTCACGCAGAGCTGTGCTGCATTAAGAGGTAAAAAGGAAGAGAATTAATCTGTTTTCCCTCAGTATATGAATGTTGCCAGCTTCTAAAGGGAGGACGGTGTATGGATTCAACAACAGTTCTCATGGAGAAGCTCTGGTTAGGCCTGGGTACAGCACCACGGCTGTTACAGCAACCAAAGCTGCCATCACAGGCATCCAAGGCCATTGTCTCTGTGTGGAGAGAAAAAAGAAATCAATATCATATTTGCTCTAATTCATACTAATCAGTTTACCTGGTGGTTCCTGCAAGTCCTGAGTACCTGTTGGCAGGCATCACTAGTGTCACCCAGGAGCCCTGCTGCAGGCTAGTCCTGACCTGGAGCACCACAGCAAACCACGTTCCTCTAGCACAGCAACTCCACAGCTCTTGGGGACTGAGGATGGGCTGGAGGACTCTTGGCAGCTCCGTGTTCCCAGCTTTGTTACTGCACACACCTCAGAGAAATCTGCCACTGAACGTGCCAAGGCTTGAGATGTTTAAAGCATGGCTCGAGGCTACACAGAGGTTTATGCACATCTTTAACTTTTGACTGTTTAAATCCAGATCTGTGACTTAGTTTGTAGCAGATCCTAACAACACCATTTTTAACAGACTGTCACAACATTGCATGACAACAATGGCATTTTAAGAGGAGGACACACTGAGAGACAAGAGAAAATGCAAGCTGAGAGTTCAGAATACAAACCAACCACCTATTTCTTGTCTTTTTTTCCCATCTTTCCATCAGCAATAGTGAGAAAAATTAAAGTGTTTAGAGCCAGAGAGGAATTTCTCAGTCCATAGATAGGAACCAAAGCTTGTTGAATTTTATTATTAGAGGCAAACTCTTCATTTTTCATAGTTAATTAGGCAATTAAGTTTTCTGACAAGCCCTAGCATTGCAGCATTGTGCAAAAGGCAGCCCATTTGCTAAAAACAAACTGAGACCAAGTTAGAAGAGGCACATTCAAGCACCAGTTAGAACAAAATTCATTGTTAGAATTCAGGAAATCACAGAGATGTTAAATCATTAGTGGATTGCTCAGCTCGTCAGTGTCAACAGAATGGCATATTAAATGAAGGGTTTGCTTCAGGTAGAGAAACACCTGTGAGCATTTCACCATGCACTATTTGATACAGAAATGGCACAAACAGGTGAGGGACAAACATACATTGACTGAACAGTAGTGCTTGTACCTTTCGCTACCACAATGGGCCGTAACACCAATACAGGAAAGCCAGGATTAGGCCGATGAATACGGCTGGGACGGGTTGTAATATGGAAGGCTAAAGAAGGGAAGGGATATTAAAAATCACTTTGTGCTATAAATCAAATCAGGTAAAGATGATTTAGAGAGGGGAAAATAAGTCAGTAAGTTTTGTTTTAAGTGAAATGTATTAAAGACATCTAACACATTATAGCATTGTCTAATCTGGTATACAAAGTTAGTACACCATTCTACTCAAATTAACAAGTATGTTTAAAAATAAAGGGAAGTAAGCAGAAAATGTTCCAAGAAACCTCTTGTCACAACTTAGAATTTAGCACTTGAAAACAATATGAATGTTAAACTGATTTGCCTGTATCTTATTTATAGTTGGTTTTAGTTTTTCTAAGTAAAAGGAAATCCTATTTGGATTTCTTGGGAGATGGACTCACACCAAATATTGGATTTTTCAGCTATTTTTTCATTCCGTGCTAGTTAGCCTTTTCCATTTTCCATCACCAGCCTCTGGAAAAACCATCTTTTTTCCTCCACTAGTGAATCAGTTACAGCTATGTCCACAGGCAAACCCAGTAGTTTGGACACTTCCGTGGGATTGTAACGTGACTGTACAATCCACATCCAGTTACTACAAAGCAGAGAAGCACATTTCTATCAGAGATACCACAAAGCTCAGCATCTCTGCCAGGTCAGCAGCCTAGTGACCAAATGCAATTCTGAAAACTGATCAAATGCTGCAGCTGGGCCAAACCAGCAGCTGGCCAGACTGCAGGGTTCATCCAGCTTATGGCTCCTCAGAACCATCCACACTTTTTCTCAGCTGTGTTCTACTCATGGAAACTACTGCACATTCTGGATGGAACAGCCTCTATCTGTGATACGAAAAGTTAAAAGTAAAAATGGACCTAAATGCTTTTAATCTGTCCTTGGAAGACATCTGCTTTCTCTGTATCCTACCCTATATATTTGTGCACACACAAAGACACACAGAGGTTAAGGTCAAACCATGCCAAATATTTTTAAAACTGTTTGTGCTGAAGCTACCTTGATTTTGTTCAGTCAAATAAATAAATGATAAATTCATGCTTAACTTTTCTAAAACATGGTGATTAGTAAGTAAAATCTCATCCTGTTTTGAATTTGTAGGAATCACTAATTCAGAGAACCTCCAATATGGTTCAAAATACAGGAACATTAGAAGGTATTCTAGTCTTGTTCAATTTTTTTTTTCAATCAAGGCAAATACTTAACAGAAAAATTATGTGTAACTGTTGAAGACTTTCATGCAAGATTATTTTTGTGTCACAGGTGCCACGAATCACAGTGCCACCTTCCCATAGAAAGCCTGTTGGCAGAAATAATCACAGCAGTGTTCAAAAAGTGCCAGAGGTTTAAATCAACCAGAGCAGCTGATGTTCTCAAACCATTGAGATCATTAAATCTGTTGTGTAAAGCGCATCAGGAAGTAACCAGTGGCTACAAGCATGCAGACACAAGTGTGCACCACACTGCTAAGCATTTCAAAAACACAACACTGCCATAAAAAAGTAAAACTTAAAACTTTAAATGATATCCCAAATGGAGTACAGAAGCCTTGTCTTTTGTAACATTTGATGATTCACCAAACAACTTTATAGATATCTTTTTCTAAGTCATACACATTCTTGGCAAATGAAACCAATGATAAATATCCATCACAGTCAATGAGAGCACCTCCACATTATTAGATTTTCCCCTCACAAGCTTATCAATACATAACAAATCTCCCTATTGTCAAGGAGCATTTAACTGCATGCTTCAATAAAATTGTGCATCTTTTTTTAAAATATGAAGATATGCAAACTCAGACACAGATGGGCTGCAAAAAGGAACAAATCCCACAGTGGGAAGTCACTTTCTGTCCTCAGAAATGAAGTAGCAGATAATGATTCCAGCATAAAGGGGCAATGGTACTTGAAAAATTTGACCTTGGAACTCAGCCCAGTATCCATGATGTTTGAAACAATCCCCAAGATGGATATGTTTTACATTACTGACTGTGAGTAATGTTTGGTGAGCAGTGAGTTTGCCCTTATATGGAGGATGCTCTTCATCACACTCTGACCTCCAGGTTTCAACTGTCACAATTAACTCCTCTTCTGCAAGCAGCTTTTGGCAACTGCTGTGGTTTCTGCTTTCACTTAAATACTCACCTCTAATTCTCCCTAAAATTTCCTTTCAGTTTTTCCACTTTCATCAGGTGCTCCAATTTCCTTCACAGTATTTCAACCCTTTACGTTTTCCCCCTTTCCACTGATCATTTTGATTCTGAGATTAATCTTTTTAACAGGGCAGAAAATCTCACATTCACAATTATTTATTCAGTGTGATCTCTTCTATTAAAATGGGGTGGGGTTTTAGTGTGGTTGTTTTTGACTTCTGCTTTAAGTAAGTCAAGTAACTCTGAGCACTGCAGAAAAATCCTAAGCAAGAATCAGGTTCCAAAAGAATGCTGAAATCATATTCCTAAAAATATGTCTGAAAAAAGTGAGAAAGGCTTTGAATTCTTTAGATCTTTGACAGCTCCATGATGTTCAAGGTTTGTATTCAAGAATTAATTATGGCAAGGATATTCATACAAACTTTAGGCATCCAGCTGTTTTAGAGGATAGGACCTGTAAAACTTTGCTTGTAGTCAGAGAAACAGTTTGCTAAATTCTGTTACAGAGCATTAATATCCTCCTGTTTTGTACTGTGCCTTACAGAGCTGTTCACCCTGCACTGGCCACAGAGGCAGTACAGGAAGACAAAACCAGCCCCCCTAGGGTAGCGAGGGACCTAAAATAAGGCTGTGACCACCTTATAATGTGTCTGCCACACCCTTAACGTTTGGAAGATTTCAGAATCTCAGTAAAATAAAAAGTTGTCTCTAGTTGGCAACTCAGTTCTAATGATACAACCTTTCAATTAATTGAAAACCAGAAAGCACTGTTTTCCTTAGTGAATAGAAAGGACAGTTCAGCTGTACTGCCTAAAGCATGAGCCCACCAGAAATAACCATGGTTAAGAAGCATAAGCAAGAGTAAGATGGGAACATCCATTGTAATCAATATCAATAAAATGAGAGCAGCTTGAAAAGCTTTACTCAATTCATTTGCATACAGGTTTGTCAGCTATTGCCCCTGTATCATTCTTTGAAATCAGATAATTTTACTTAGTTCTGATTCACTAGTATTTAAGCCACATATTTTCAAGAGAGCAGGTATCTAAGGACATACTTTAAACTGTCAAGCAACTGTAAATTTAACTTTCATGTGTAATTTTAACAGTGTAATGATCTGCAAATCTGCACAGGTAGGACTAAAATGGAATTTTGCATAATATGGTACCCATTTTTTTCTCTAAAAGTCCATCCTTTTCTATATGACTCTTCCATATTCCTTCAATCAACAGAATTGCCAGTGTCATAACCTGACTTCCCCACATATTTGGTACAGACTTACATTGTTTCCTTTTTCTTGTAGCAGCTTCAGGTTTTCTTTACATTGTTTGAGCTCCTCCGTGAGTGACTGGTTTTGTTGTTCAGCCACCTCATACTTGGCCTTCAGCTCTGAGAGCACAGTCTGTGTTCTTTCATACTAAAGACAAAGAGAGAACAATGTGTGGACCCCTGGACACCCAGCACATGCTGACATCTGCTTAGCACACAGCTCCCTTTGCTGTCATCTGCCCAGACTAACTTGCCTTGCATCACTGCACTCTCTTTTCATAAAAGCAGGGTAGAATTTAGATTTCCTTTTTTTTCTAAATTAAATTTTTTTGCCCAGCTTGGCAGAGCTAGGACTACCAGACCCAAGGAAATACAAAGTAAATGCAAAGCTTTAATTAATCTCTCATACCAGTTATTCATTATCATATTGGGAAGGACTGTAAAAACTACAAAGATGAAACAAGAAACAGGGGAGCAAGGAGTCCTTCACATTTGAATAGTGGTCTTACATCTACGCTGCAGCTTACACCCCTCTAATAGGTGCAAAATTCAACACTCTGTATGAAGTAAATCAAATCCTCTTCCACACAGCAAATTCAAACATAAGAGCAAGGCAGGCATAAAAAAAATTACGCCGCAATCCTCAGTGTGGGTCAAGCACAAACAGTACTGGGTAAAGGGGACATGTTCCTACAGAATGGGTAGTTTTTCCTTTTTTCAAACCCACATTCCATTTTTCCTATTCAAGCAGTCCTCCTGACTGGGTTTAGTAAGGAAAGAACCAATGACCTTCAGTACTGGCATTCACCACAAATTTAGAAGATGAGGCATCTTTACAAATACTGATCTGATTACAAAACAGAGATTAGGACAACTGGGATTTTCAGATTCTGAGAATTGTAAGGAATGTGACATGAATGAATTAATCATGGAGTAAACAAAAGGACTGCAAAAGAAACAAAGAGCAGTGTCTGGGGAAACATTCAAAATGTTCATAAGAGGAAGTAAATTAAGTGCTGGAGACTATGGCCTTGTCCAGACAATCTTTAGAGGCCAAGCAGATTAAATACATGCTCAGAATGCTGACTCTTCCTTATGCACTTACAAATCCATTAAGATGAAAGATCTTTGTAAAGAATATGTAGTCCCATTGCCAAACAGAAGAGTTCAAATCTAACTGGGAAGATTATACTGTGAAAATTAACTTTGACTCATAACAGCTAAAGAAACTCTGGACTATAATGTTCATGAAGACTCTGAATAATGATTTACCTGTCTGAACATCTTAAAAGTAAATTCACTACAGTAATGCATGTAAGTAAAGTTTAAGAAGTTCTCAAAGAACTTCCTAAACTTCAGGTAAATGTGTATTTACCTGAAGTCTTCCCTTTTAGATTTGACTCCCAGTTTATATTTTCAGAGCTACCATTTAAACTGCTTGCAATAAACATCTAAATAAATTATTTACCAGAAAAAGTAAAGAATTAAAAGTCCCTTTTCTTTTAGCTTAAACAGGTCAGTCATTGAGCATTGCATTCTTGCAAAACGGAAATATTTCATGTTACCTCTTTCTGAAAATCTTTTGCTTGACTTTCAGCTTCACTGAGTTGAGTTTTCAGACTGGCTGCATCCCGCTGATGTTTTTCTCTCAGTGATCCCATCTGATTTTCAAGTTCCTTCCGAGACATTTCAAGAACACTTATATCGCTGGTTAGTGCTAAACTCTGTTTCTGAGAGCTGAAAAACAAAACCCAATTGATTCCTTATGCATTTCAAATTTACACAGACTGGCACTTTTCACCCTTGAAAGTTTAACACAGGTTTTGATGTGTAAATACCAATACAGACCATTATTGCCTCCCTAGCAGAGTGCTGACACAAAAGGCTGGCCATGGTCTTGCTTTGAAATATCTGTCCACAGCTTGCTGTGTATAATGAACTTTTGGGAGGAAAAACCACCATCAGCAAAACTCTTCAGCTGCTGTGGTACCCCCCAGACAAACCTTGTGCCCTTACCTAGAAAGCTCCTTCTCTTGTCGCTGAAGTTCAGATGTAAGTGAAGTATTTTCCTTCCTCAGTTTAACACATTCAGCTTCCAGAGCAATCCACTCTGCCTTCAGCTTTTCAAGTTCATCTGCAATGAATAAGTTAATTCAATTAAGTAAAATTATTTCATGACTACTTCAAGGAACTAATAAAGGACCTAATAAATGGAGGAAAAGCTGGTATCAGCCATAAATCTCAAATATATTTGTTTGTAATCATGTCACATGAATTCTCTCATGAGCACCTGTAAAACATTACATTATCTTCTACTGTTATAAGGTTTATGACCCAGTGCCTGACAAGTTACTTTTTTCATTAAAGCTTTTTCTAAGGCACAAAGAAGCAGAAAACAGTCTTTTTATGGGTCAACTCTAATATTTTAGAAATAGTGGTAGAAAAGTATATTTGAAGAAAATTTCCAAGGCTTCAAAATAGCAAGAGAATCACTAATACCATGCCTCTGTTTCAAGGAATAGAATGTTTAAAGCAATAAGCTTTAGTGACACTTTGGTAGAATTAAAAAGTCAGGAGCTCCCCCTTAACAGTCTTAAACTATAGAGAAGTTCCACAAGTCCTCTTGGAAATTTTTTGGCAGTATGAATCCCTCAAACTGTACAAGTTTTCCATCTTTTCTAAGTGGAATTACACTTGGTCTACTGATGTCAAATAGTAATTTAGGCATAATAATAACTCTTTAATGAAGCATGCAAAATGTCTTTTTCTGTGGTGCTTTGTGCACCACAAGCCTTGGTGCACACAGATAAATACATACAGGTGTGCACACACACACACAGAGTGAATGACTACAGAGGGACAGAGAAACAGTGATTTGAGTAACTGGCATCCACCACAGTGAGCAGGATGCTCTGGTAGCCATGCTCTGGGACATCCTTTCAAGCAAGTACCTTTCAGGCGAGAGGCCTCCTCCCTCTGCTGCTCCTCACACTGCTGGCACTTGAGCTGGAACCGGGACTGCAGATTGACAATTTCTTTTTCATAGTCCGAGGCATCGTTCCTCCAGCGGTCAAGCTCTGCTCGCACTGTCTGCAGCTCAGCTTGCAAGGCAGAAATATCTGTGTCTCGTTCTGAGGCTGCTTTTTCTGCTACTTTTTGAAGTGACAGAATCTCATTTTGAGCACTGACTAGTTCATTTCGAGTGGCTGAAATTTCATTCTCCTTCTCCTTGCGAAGATTCTCAATTTCTTCCTGTAACCTTCGCAACTGAGCTGGAAAGCAGACGTTCATGTCAATAGTTTTTCAAATGCATTTACAATAAACTTAAAAACCTTACCTCCCTCTCTCAACACATTGATATTTAACAGGGCTAAAGAAGCCTAATGCAATTGAAAAAATATTTATCCTGTCAAATGCTGTACTTTAAGGGGGAAGTATGTGGGCCATGTAATACACAGAGTCAAAAGAAAGAAAAACCCTAAACCTAGGCAGTAAATGCAGGCTAGGACTAAGGTCTTTTGCAAGGAAAGAGCAGTGGAGGAAGGCATGTTGTGGCAGTTTTTTGTTCCCCTTGGGATGCCTTTTTCAGCTGCAGTGTGCCTGGATCCCTGGGCTTTGTGGTTTTCAAAACCCTAACCCTAGGTGTAACCCTAACCCTAAGTGCCCGAGTAGCTCTTCAAATTAGCACTTGCTCTAAGGAAGTGACAACAGAACACAGCCTTTTTGACCTTAAGGCTGGACAGACTGACAGACTCTTCCCAATAAGCTCTTTCATATGCATGGATGAGAAGTTAATGTGATACAGAGCAGCTGACTGAGAATTTGTGTAAATCATGGGTTACATCCTGCTGCATCCATTTTGGGCTGAAATGAGCACAATTGATTATATCAATTTTCAAAAAGGTGTGGACAGGGTCTCTGTTGCAGCAACTTTACTGCATGGTCTGATGCTGGATGTGGATCTGGATGAAAAATTCCTTTAAGAGGATCCTAGAATGAAGTTAAGAGATTGGCTAGCACAAAACACCTAAAAAGCTTCTGAGTGCTCTGAAGACAGCCACAGTAAGAATCCCTGGATCATCTAGGACTGGGAAAGACTAAAAGGAGATGAAGAAGAGGTACCTATTACAGATTACACCTTTTGCTTTTTCAAGTGACTATTACAACCATAGGAATTTAAAGGAAACATTCCACAACAACATTCAAAGATATGGTGAAAGAAATCAGATTTAAAACATACACTCAACTAAACATTTTCCTTTCTTAGTGACTATGACGCCACAGAAACAGTCAAAACTATATAGCTTCCCTAAAGAGTGGGGAAAAAAATTCCTACCTTGCAGGGCATTTATTTGCTTGTTGGATTCTTCAACTTGCACTCGATATGCTTTTCTCTCTTCTTCCAAGAGAGCTACAAGTAAAAGTGAAAATGTGCCCAGGAGTTTTTGTCAGTAACATGAATTTTACCTGTGTAATTAATTTTAGTCACAATCTCTCCTTCAGTGAAAAGATTAAGCAAACATATTACTTCAGAAATTTATCAAAGGTAGTAAAACTGTGTAAGTAAAAGTTAATAAAACTGTGTAAATAAAAGTTAATACTAAGACATCATTCCATTATTGTGGTAGTATTACAATTAATTTGAAATTGATATAATCTGTTGCCTGATCTGAAAACTCCATGTCTGCTAAATGCAAACTGGTGTGAGAGAAAGGAAAAAAAAAAGTTTGTAAATATAACCACTAATGCACACTGAACAATATGCAATTAAACTGAACTATACTATTTCCTCTTAAAAACAGAGCTACATAGCTGACAGGATGATCCAACAAAGAGCTACCACTGAAGACATTCAATTACATCCATTATCTAACTGAAATAAGGATGAAATCTGAGTTCAAGGATGTATTCAATACTATGAAAACATGTTGGTTTATCTTGAACTACCTAATATATACAATTTTCATGAATACCCTACAGAACCAAGTTGATCTGGGTCTCACCTTGAAGTTCAAAGCATTTTTGTTTACTTGTCCTAGCTAGCTCTTGGGCTTCAATCAGCTCCTTGTGCAGTTGCTGAATTTCTTGCTTAGCCTCAGTTTCTGATTGTGCACCCTGCAATTCATCTGACAAAAGAACATTTTCTTTGAATCATAAGTTTGTACAACAGCTTCATTTGCACTGCCATGTGCTGACTGGCAACTTTTTACTCAAATCTTCAAAAGTTAGTTAAAGTAAACTCAAAATTAGATTAAGCAAATATTAGCAAAAATATTAATATACTTTTAAAAGTAGTAAAACATATGCAAACCTTAAAGCATTCATTACACATAACATGCAATGTAAAACAAAAATTAGCAAGTAAGAATCAGAGAGTTTAAAAAAACTGTATAAATTGGCAAGGACTTCTGTATTGACAAAAACATGGAACAACAAAAGCTTAAGACAATCCTTGGCTGTGTTTACAACTTGTCTCTTTTTAAAGGAAGCTGCCCTAAGCCTGTCTCAGTGCACAGGCTCAGGCAGAGCTGCTATTCCATGATTCACTACTGCCACCCACCCACCACATTGCCAGGCTCAGCCTCTCCCTCTCCCTCTGGGGACCAACAAGGAAAGGAAAAATTTAGGGAAATATCCTAAAATAAAATTAAGAAAAAGAAGAAAATTCCAACTTCCTTATTTCATTTAGTGGCCTTAGTGAATAGTAAGATCAATATTGCACTTGATTTTTTTTTTAAACTGCATCTTAAACTACTAAGTATGTCTTTAATATGATCATAAATCTATGCACATGATTTAAACTCTAAATAAAAACATTTGCTCTTCCCCATAAGTTTTGCATTAGCTAAAACACATATCAAATGCCTCTTAGGCTTGAAAGAGAAGACTTGAAGTCACAGAAAATAAAATACTTTTACAGCTGAAGTTTTGGAGGAATTTAAAAGAGGAAAATAGTATTTGTTACTAAGAGCAGTGTCCTCTAATGGGCACACATCTAGAAATGAGATGCAGGAACACTCTAGCCTGCAGGCATCTGCAAAGGCAGCAACAGCATCCAGTAAACTCTCATTTACTGGATTTTCCTTAAGCAGTATCCATGCACAAACTGATCTTTCAGTAGGGACAAACAGCACTAATAAACTCCATGGGTAGTGGGCTGAAACTTGATATAAAGCTTGTTTGGTGAGAAAGGTAAAGGAAGAAAACTGGTGAAAGAATTCCAGCTGTGTATCATGAGAGGGGGTGGAAAAAAAAGGCTACACAGTTACCTGGCCAATAAATGTCTGCAACTATACAGCACATGGATTTAAGATAAAGGCTTAAAAAATATTATTTTGGTTTGTCTGGACTTTGCATTAATAAGGAAAAAAACCCCAAAACTATAATTTAGCTCATCATTATACTTTTGACATTCATATTCAGCCGCAAATCATGCTAAAGTCTTCATACTGCATCTCTCTAAGGGGCTATTTTTCCTGCTCTCACAATAATGAACTGGTGGGTTTGAGCAGAGCTGAGAACACACATGTGCTTTTAGACTTCTTCAGAACAAAATTATGAGAGCAGAAAGAACAGAGAGGACTACATATTTCACCCAAATACTTTGTTTTATGGTTTATTACCTCTAAATCCAAGTTTCTCTTTACTGAATATGTTTTGTTCTTAGCTTCTCATGGATAAAGATTTAGAGCAATTAGACTTTCAACCCTCTTTAATGAGACTTTTCAGAAGAAATGGATGAGGAAGTTGACAAATTATGCTCAAATCATGCCTGATAAAGAGGCAGTGTCCCAAATCCAACAACAGACACCCTAAATGAACTTTTATGGTGGCAGCATTTTCTAGTCAGTGAAAGCACACATCATAAAAGACAGTACTGCTTCAAAAGAGATGAGAGGAAAACTCTTTTCTACATCAACACAAAAGGGGAATTTCCATGTGCCTGACATGCTTCTAAATCAAAAGGCAAGAAATATAAGTACAAGAAAATATTTGCTTCTTAGTCTTACCCAATCTGAAAATTAGGTGTCTTGTAGTTCAAAGCAAATATAAATTTGGTGCTAATTCTAGTTTTGACAAGTACTTCTTAACTACGTAGGATTGCCCTATTTACAAACAATAAAACTACTACATATCATTATGCCTAGAATGAGTTCCCTTTAGAAGCAAATTCACATCATGGCTAACTGTCCCCAAAGCAGGCTAAGGAGTTACCATGAATTACAAAAAGGTGCCAGAAAGAATTAAATAAAAAAGAAAAGGTCAAGTACAGCATTTTTTCTTCCTCATTCATTTTTTCTACCTTGTGGACGATTTTGATCTGTGATCAGTTTGCCACATTTTAAGAAATGTTCTCAATTAACACCTTTTTGTCTTCCACACAAATACAGTGAGGCTTCGTTGACTCTAATGGGAATTTAAAAATTGTTTAAAAGACTTTTTAATAACCTTTTTAATTTTTTTTTTAATAACAGAGATAATACAGAAGCCACACAGGCTGTGGTCTTAACTGATCCTTTATCTGTATGTGCCTGGCCTGTGGAAGCAACTTTATGAGCAGGCTGGTATTTCTAAAAGTTCACCTTCAGAATTTTGCAGGATTTCTCAGGTTATTTAGAAGACAATTTTCAGGGTACTCAGGTGAAGTCAGACACAACAATTTCAACCCTGAGGTTTTTTTTTAGCTTCATAAGATCCACATGAAGGAAACTGCACCATATATTTAAAATAAAGTATCTAGTTATTCTGACATAAAACAATGGTTCCCAAACTTTCTGAGCTGACAGACCACTGCTGATTTTCAAAATTTCTTATGTAAATTTCCACTATTCAGCAAATCCTCAGCTGAAACACTTTCTGCTAAGATTCCATGGCTCACTCCTGCAATTACTATGAAAACACAAGGACATTGATAAGAACAAGATTACCAGTCCTCCAATGACATTTACTGCTCCTTTCCATCTGTTCAACATTTACCTGCCCTTAACTTTGCAATAAGAAGTCACAAACAGCTTGTTTAAACAGAAGTGTCCAGGGAACTGTTATGAATGGTTAATAAAGTCATTCATTCACCTTGTGGGGGAAAAACCAAAACCAACTCATCTGTCACAGCTTCCCCCCTTCCCAGATTCTGATTTGTAGAAACTTAAATCAAATCCTGAAAGCACTCAAAAATTTTGATGGAAAATTGCTTGGAGGAATCTACAGCAAGCAGAAGTCTCACAATTTTCCTGTTCCATTAATTTCTTTTGTAAATTTCAACAAGACCTCTGCCTTTTCCAGCGGCCGTTTCTGCATTCCAAACAGCCGCCAGATCAAAAATGTTCTCACTCTTCCTTAATTGTATGGCTGCATAACAAATCCACTTGAAAACCTTTCTGAGACAAATCAGATCCTTTTTAGGACAAAGTCAGGCACATGAAGTCGGTCTCTGAAAAAAACCTCAAAACTGTGGGTTTATAGGCTCTTCATAAAAATGAAAAGGGCAAATGATTCATTGCACAGATATTTTTTAATGGTTTCGTGAGAGCAAAATAGGAAGGCCCATAAATAGCCTCAAGAGGAAGAGAAAAGTTGCTGCCAACCTCAATTTTATAACCAAAAATAAGACTATTATAATCACTACAAACAACATTATCAAAGTCTACCTTCTAGCACAGAAAGTCACTGAACATACTTGTTATTAGTTGCAGATATTACAGCAAACCCCAACTAGAACATGCCCGGTATCTCAAACCCTCCTTTCTAAACTGCTTTGCTGAACTGATGTCCACTGGGAAACATCAAACTCAATTTTATACACATTGCCAAACAGCAAAAGTAATTTGTGCAATTTTTGGAAGCCTTTCTGTCGTAAAATTAGGGAGTGTAAACAATTGCAGAGAAAGCTCTTTTACAGGTCTCCTACGTTCCATTATGGTTTCCTTTTTTCCTGAGTCACAAAGAACTGTGACATTCTTTTACTTGTGATCTCAACAGGAGCATAATTTTACAGATCTTATCAAGTGTCTAATTGTTAAAGAAGCATAAAATTATTTTCAATAGGCTAAATGTAATAACTAATTATTATGCCACAGAAATCTTCAGTAATGAATATGTAAATATCAGCTTGCTAATTAAATATATGCCTTCAGTGCATAAAAACCAATAAAAATTTTACATTTATAGAAACGAAGCTCAAAGCTAAGCCCCAGCCATCATTCCAAATACAGTTACAATACAAAGGCCCAATCTTGATTGTGTTAAAAAAGAAAATCTAAAATCTTGTTTTGATTAACCCATCACTGCAAACTAACAGAAGCATTTCTGACAGTGATGGAAGCTATGCAAGTAAAATGCTTGAAAAATGTCAGTGGTGGAACAATCCCTCCTCTCCCCAGCTATAATCTTAAAGGTGTACTGACTCTAATTCTCAGTCCAAGTTGTAACATGTAAATTCCTAGAACAGCGTTGGGGAGTACAGAGATTACATTTATATACAGATGATTTCTATAGCAACACTCAAAAGTGTGTTTTTATATCACTCAAAGGAGTCATTACTAACATTTAAATTTAACTCTTCCTTAGTACATGACTAACATCTTTGAATTCCAGAATTTTATTTTAACTATATTTTCTTTTAATAAAACCCAGGTAGATAAAAAGATTACATATACAGATTATGCATCTGAAATTGAAAAAGTAGATTTGTTTACCTTTTAGAAGAGCTACTTTGACAATAGGTTCATTTAGATCTTGGTCATCCATTTGAGCATCTAAAAAGAAACCCCACACCTTTCAGAGAGCAGGCAGACTGCAGAGAGTTCTCATATACACATTCTTTACATGGACAGAAGATTTTATGTCCTTCTCACTTTACAGGAGTCAAATTATGAAGCCACAAAATAGACCACACTGCTCTAAGCTTGTCTCTATGTATAATATACTGCATGATTTTAAGAAAATGCTCATAATTACCTAGATTTAATTTACACCAATTAGAGATCACAGAAATCTCAGTCAAACTCTTACCTGTAGTGTCGTCGCTGCTTTTTTCCTTGCTTGGGCTAAGGGTGTCAGACAAATCGTTCGATTCTTTGACTCGTGCTTGGTTTTCTGCAAGAGACAAGGAAAAGCAACTACAATCAATAAATGCTTTGCTCATAATTTGTCCTGTACACCAAACTACTGCTAAATGTCCAGAGAAAACAACTTGGTTCAAGAAACAGTTAAAAACCTGCTGGGTGCTTATTTCTTTGCAAGCCTGGGCTAAAATGGATTCCGCATCTCTGGAATCATTAACCCAGCCTAGCCTCTAATAAGGGATGCAATCGCCTCGTGCACAGCTTGAGCCTGAGCCTGGGTTAATGCTGTGTTCTTGCCAGCTGGAACTGTGCAAAAGCTGATTCAATCAGCAAACAAATAAGAAAAGAGAACTAGAACAATGCAGAGACTGTAGCAAGTCAAAGAAACTGCTGTAAAGAATAAAACTGTGTTTCAATATTTTGAACAAATTACATAATAACAAGACTTGCACATACCGTACTGTTCAAAAGAAGCATGGTGTGAACCATTAAAGAATCACAGCAATATAAATTAATACATTAGTTTCTAGAAAGAACTTTCAGTTTAAATTGTATTAAGAGAAAGTGTTATGTTGTTCCCACAAAAAATTACCCTCGTGAAATATCTGTTCATATATAATTCAGCACTTTTATTACAGCAACTTCGTGAAGGCACACAGTTGGTTTTGATGGGCTTTTTTGATTTTGGTTGGATTTTTTGGTTTTGGGGGTTTTTTCCCCAGCTCTAGACTTTTAGTAGAGACCATGTATTTTCAAAATCAAAGAGATTTAATTACACCAGTGCATCTTTGTCCCACACAGAATCACCCCTGACTCAAAGTCTAAATATTACACATGACGGACATAAATTTTTAAAAATTTTTCTTAAATAACAATTACTGTTTAGTTCTGATAGGTCCATTGAAAAGAGCAGATCATTTCTGGTGTGGGCTAACCCAGCAGGTCTGTCAGCAAGGAACTGTCACCAACATACAGGTGAGGCTATGCAAAATGAAATCTTTCTTGGCTGTCTATTCAGAGCCTTGCTTTGACAGCTCTGCTGCCCACCTGCAGGTTACCAGAGGGTTCCTCTGAGTCTCAAGTTCCAGGCAGAGACATTATATGAAAAGGGGTCAATACAGCATTCCCAGTGCACAGACATCTCCCATCCATGGAGAAAAGCACAGGGAACACAAATAATTTCACCACATATAGGTAACACGCATGCAACAATGAAGTACCAGGACATAGGACGAAAGGAGCACATCAGTAAATAAATCGTGTTACACAACAGGGTTAGTATATGAAAATACGTAAAAACCAAGGGAACAGTAAGACATCTTTTCAAATAACAAGAGAATACACAGAACTAACTTCCCCCAGAACAAAAGAAGCGGAAACTGGAGACAATCTGTGCGGCTGCATGAGGAAATCAACATGACAGAACACGGACAGAAAAAAAAACCAGAAGAAACCCACAAAGTTTTCTTAATCTAAAATGAAAAGTTTTCTATAATTCTGTGCCAGATTAACATCCACTTATACATGAAACAGAAGGCAGCAAGTAGAAACAAAGCAGCTGGCGAAGAGGGAGACTCTTCCCACCCTAACGCAACCGAAATCACCGGAGAAGAGGAAGGGGAAAAGCACCTGTACAGTTAAAGCACACCAGAGGTTCAGACCTGGCAGGTACTACAAACACAATTCCCACTTTAGCAGACTTCAAAATTCATAATGATTGCTTGTAGTTAAAAACTTAATCTCTGGGGGTGGGTGGTTCTTCACTAAAACAAAAAGGGATCTTTCTTATTTTTAGGAATAAGGTTTTTAACTAATATCTAAAGGTGTTTCAAATCAAACCATTTTACATTATCATATAGAACCAAGCTCACAGGATTGTCACTAAAACTCTAATAATTACTAAACCAACACATTAATTTCTTGATAAAAAATAATTATTAAATAATTCTTTACAAAAGTATAACCTAAAAGCCTCACCCATGTCACTTTAACGAGTGGCCGATCCAGAAGCACTAAGCTGAGCAAGATCCACATGCAACTAACTTTACCATATCTGGGCATCCATGGAAATACTGCTTCCCTGCTCTGTGCAAAATGGGAGGAACAGTGCAAGTTCCAGCCACTGGATTAATTCTCTCTGCCACAGCACCCCCTTATTTACTTCCCTCCCACCCACCCTTGGTACACCAGCTTCTTCCCCCCTCTGAAACAAGGCACAAAAGATGAGGCACCAGAGGAAAGATGCACCAGTTCTACATGTAAAACACCAGAAGATAAATTATTAGAAACTTGCTTCCTATTCTGGAACCAGAGTCATAAGAACAAAACTCTTTCCTGTACTATATTATATCACAGCAGTTGTTCCTATTTCCCATAATAAAACTGAGCTGAATAAATATAGCCAAAGTGATAAAGTATATTAAAATGTGTTGACATCATACTTGATGAGTTAGAATATATTACCAAACACTAAAAATAGCTCAGAGCTTTGCAATGGAAGGAGCATGCAAGTGTTACGTTACAGTTATTGTATGCATTCTTTTGCCAAATATGGCACCTGGTCTATAGCTTCCTCACGTACAGAAAGGAGTTAAAGGGGCCATTCCATGCATTAAAGGAAGAGAAGATAAATTAAAATATCTCTATAACACTGGACCTTTTAGCAAATGAACATTTATTCAACACAACAACACTTGGCAGAAGCTCAGAGGGTAAAGAACTGAGGCAGTATGTCCAGACATCAATAAAAAGCTGCAAGAGAGGAGTGAGCCTGCAAGTCCAAACAATCTTACATTATTAGACACTTGAGAAACATCGACCTGCACACTTGTTAGCTGTTCTGACCCTGGCACTGTAAGGTAAGGGTGACCGTTCCTTGACAAATCTTTTCTAATTAGCTCCTTTAATTTAACTTGCTTTATACATTAGAGAAAAGAGCTGGAGAGGCACATATATATTTTACTTGTAAAAGACACATTTAGGAGGCTAATACTTAAAGTTATGAGATAAGATAGAAAATAATCAAATTAAAATACACTTTTAAATAAAACTTAAATTACACCAAACATTATTTCTATGTAGCCCTACAATAAAACCAAAATCCCATTTGGAATTCATGCAGGCACTAAAGCTTGAAATGAATTTACAAAAACTACTTTTTTTTTAAAATGCATATTCAAGTAAGAACTCAGTCAACATTGAGACTAGCATTTCATGCACTCAATCTTCAAAAATGGTTTCCATTAAATCTTTTTAGCCTACAAGCGTATTTGGAGTAGAGTTCAGCAAACAATTTCCCTCCCCTTTATTGAATTTCCCTTCAAATGCGTATTCAATAAAACTCAAACTGCTGGCTTAACACAGAACATGCACTGAGTGACAGAAAAAGCATGCTTCAAAAACAGTTAAATAATCCAGAAGTCTAACCTTTCAAAAGCTTTGTTTCTTCCACTTTGGTTAGATGTCCTTCATCTATGATCTTGTCTGCCAAACAAAATAAGTGTTACTTTCCAAGCTCAAATTTTCCCTGCACGCATCTACGTAGAGTACATTCCATGACCAAATTAAAAGCTGATAATATTACTTCCTACTCAGCCTTGAACAAAAACTTTATTCTGGCAAGGAATAATGAAACAGAGCACACAAGCCTACCAGCACTTTGTGATACAGTGCATAATTATTTCTCCTTATTAACTTACATAATGCTGCACTTCACTAATGAGAATTTAGAAAAAATAATTTTACGTACTTTAAAATAAAAAAAAAATCAGAAGCAACAAATAATTAACACGTTTCTCAAGTTTAGTTATCAAAAAAGGAATTTGAAGAGCTGGTTGCATGAAACAGACATCCACCCAACACAGCAGAAACCTAAAAATGCATCACAGTAAAACAGGAATAGAGAAATCCCCTCAACATCACCACTGCTTTTAACAGTGCCTGTGAAGTGTACACAGGAATAGCCTTTCTTTGTTTAAACCTTTCAAGAGAGCTGCACAAAACTCCAAAACTAGGAATGCATTACATTCAGGTTCATGAAAATGCAGTTTTTATCCAAAGTCTACTTTAGGGAAGTCTATTCATATATGTGATGTGCACAAAAATCTTAGAAGTGGAATTTGAGACTAGATTGCTAACTTCATCCTAACTCCTGCTACGCTATAAAGATAAACAAGAACACCAAGGGAAGAACAGGATTGGATTAATGAAGGACACCAAAAAAACTACTGAATAATTCATTTCTTTTTGCAGATGAGATTTCATTATTTCTAATTCCTTAAGAAGCAATGCCAACACAGAAGTATCGAGGATCCCATCTGACAGATCACATCCTCAATCTCTGTGCAGCAGATTTTACAGTCTAGTCCATGTTGAAAGCTGTTAGCCCCTGAAATATCAGGCTTGAGAAGCTGCCTCTGCCTCCCCTCCATGGTGTCCCTGTCAGATCCCTGATAACCAGGGAGGGAATGCAGTTTGCTGGATGCTCCATGTGCTGTCAACAGGAAAGAGACACAGAGAAGGCTGAATGAACAGCACAAACAGGAGAGTTCAGACTAAAGAAGCTGGATGACAGTAAATCCTCTTAAAAAAACTTTAAGCTTTTTCAGCTTCAAGTATCTCTGAAAATTAACTTGTCCCTCTATTCCTCTGATGGCATGTTGCTGTAACTATGACAACCTAAGGACAGATGCAGGACAAGATCTGGGAGGAGAGATCTTTTACAAACCTAGATGGTAGACAAACTTTCAGACAAAAACCCTGAAGTCTGAAGAAGGGTTTTCATGGCCAAAAGGTTGTCCTGTACTCTGCCCTCTCCCACACAGACAGATAAGCCAGTGGAAAAGAGATGTTCCCTTCACCTACTTTTATCTACAAATATTATTCTGCATTAATGTAACATTTTACTAACACTGCTTCAGAAACACATGGAACAGCACACTGGATTTTCAGGATTGGCTTTAGGTCTCAAGCAACTGTAGGAGATCACTCATCATCTAAGTTCAGAACAGCCTCAAGTTCCTCAGAGCTGGTGAGAATGACTGCCTAGACAGAGGACAGCACTGTGTAGGGAATCAAGTTACTGGCAGCCACAAAAGTCAGGAGTTCAAGTGATACCACGACTCTTCTTCCCTTTTAAAATAAAATAAATCTAAAAAAAAGTCTTTATATATGATTATTCCAGTACTGAGCTGTGACTGGAAGAGGGGTGGAAGGGAAGGCAGCAAGAAAAAAGCTGGGGAATTCTCCCTGTAGATCTGAATAAAACAGCTGAATGCAAAAACAAGCAGCTTTCAACTGAGCTGAAGGGGTAACAGCTCAACCATGCTGGACTGCTAGCTTAAAATAGGCCTCTGTAATCAGCTTACAGAGGAAAATTTAGCATTATGGATTGATGCATCTTCTAGCTTTCTCACTGCAGTAACTGGTAAACTCTGAATAACTGCAATACAAAACAGAAACTACCCTTCTTGACACAGATGTTTTCCAAACTGAAACTTCTGCAGCAGTTCTTGACACTCTGTTTCCATGGCTAAAAGAAACTGCAGGCATGGGGGTTTTTTGGCTTTTTTCCCCCCATTTCCATGGTGGCCTATTGCTTTCTAGAGTCCACTACTGATTTGACCATTTGTACAAAAGGTACATCCTTGGCACTGTTCCTGCAGCCAGGACCTTGAGCAGCAGCACACGAGGCTCTGCCCAGCCTGTCCCAAAGCTGGCACAGCCAGGGTTTTGCACTTGGACTGACACCTCTCCTCATTCTCTGTGTTTCAAGAATGCTACCAATAATACATGGCATAAGCTAACAAAAAATAGATTAATTCAGCATGCTGGTATTTAGATACTACAGATATGGTATTTTAGATGAAACAGTGGTATCGCTGAACTCCATAGAACCTTATTTTTCACTGTTACCACCCTAGTCACTAAAAATGGCAGAATCTAGACAACAATGAGGGGGGAAAAAAAGACAGAGACATCTTCTTTGAAACAGCTCTTTCAAATCTCTGCATTTTTAAATTTTACTATTTCAGAAAACTTCATAAACTTTATTTGTTTTTAAATCACTTAGTGTTTTCCCTGAATCAAGACATGCAATCTTGGCTACCAAAATATAAATTAGGGTAAGGATCTTAGCTTGAATTTCTGGCACAAAAGAACTTAAGCTTTCATGCTATCCAGTTCCTACCTAGCAGAAAGCAGAGAGGTACATAAACTAATGTTGTTACTGACACAATCTGCTGTGAAGTTAAGTTCTCAGTTAGTCCTTAAGATAATTCATATTTTCTTCTGCAGCTCTAAGCCAGCTTTCCTTTAGGTTTTTATGCATTTCCTGCATTCTCAATTTAAGAACTCAGATTTAGGTTGCCTATCACTATGTACAATATAATAACTAAAATCTGTTAACATTACAATTACCACTTAACTAACATGGCCCCTCTACATTTATATTTTGGCATCAAAACAGTCTTTGAAGTAGGCCACATTTGAAAACCAATGAAAAACCTGTCCCTCAATGCACAAATTTCCAACCATCTGAAAAAAGTGATACTAAACAGTATCTTAACCTGCAGGTCAAAGGAAAAGTTAAAAATATTTAATTCAATCCATCCAAAAACTACTATTAATAAATCTGCAAAAATCAGCTTGGTGAAAAGAAGGAAGTTGACTTGCATTTAAAATCAAATTAAAAAAATCACAAAGTAAGGGAGGAAAGAAAGGACACAAATAAAGAAGGGTTAGACTGGAGTGAAAGCCAGGAAGTTAGCAGGGCAACAAATCTCCCTTTGGTCTGTACATCATCACATTTTTGCTAATAATGCATACCATGGACTGATCAAAAAGAGGCACCATGACTTCTGCTCTTCACTGATTTTGACCAGTGGTTATTAAAAAAAAGCTATGGAATGAGCAACAAGTGAACTGGATGTAATGATCAGAAAGTAACAGACTTCCCAGATCATTCAGAGCCAGATTTCATAACACTCCACAGATGTCAGAGGTCAGGACATGTTACTGGATGGTGTTGTGAGAGGACTGTGCTTAAAAAATAAAAATAATTACATAATACCTTTAAAAATCTACAGAAGCTGGATTTTACAAACCATCTGGTTTCTAGGATTTTTATTACTATTGTTTAAGCAATAAAACTGCTCCCCTCTCAGTACTTAAGCCTCTGGGCAAACCCCAACATACTACCCCATGATGAGCTCCATATTCTTGCTCTGTATTGCCAGTCTGTATGATATTGTTCTACACTCTTTGCTGTGTGCCTTAAAACTTGATTTCCTGACAATCTCTGAACTGTGATTTTTCTCCCCAGGAGTCCCTAACTCTTGATGCTACACAGAGCAAAGAACAGGAGTAGAACCGAAGGGCAACATTTACATACAAAAGGCAAAGAACAGATGCTACAGTTTGCAGTTTTTAACCTCATGATATTGTGAGGCCTGACTAAACATATCTGAATGTGGAAAAGGCAAACTTTCAGTCCAAGAAGAAATAAAAGAGTCAATGATTTGGAATTTTTCTTGATGTGAGAGTAAAAACTTAGACTGTCATAAAAAATGCAAAATCCTGAGCTCTTTTGAACTCTATTAATTCCTTTAAAAATGAAGCAGTTGAGGCCTGGCAGTTTTTTCACTGTAGCTTGAGAAAAGGTAAGCATAAATCCACTGATCTTAATTTTACCCTTATCAGAACTTCTTTAACATCTTAGAATATTTTACTAGATACTGTTGATCACTTTTCCTTCTCAACAGTGACAGGACTGGTCACATTTCGTTTGCAGAAGTGATACTAACCTAATTTTGCCAAAATAGGTTAAGCTAACATCCAAACAATGAAAACAGGTAACCAATTTGTATTTGAACATTGCACAGTGTGCTCTTCATGTTCTAGACAAGAAAAATGTTTACTCAAGCATTTAACTTCATTTTTTATGAACTGAAAAACAAGATTCATACAAGATCTTTGCAAAATTTAGAATGATTTTAAACTGCAGCCTCACAGAAGACAGCTACCAGTCGTTATGTTTTTAAATAAACATTTTTCAAATAAAGATGAAATTTTCTTAGACAAACATTAGCAGTATCATGTAATTTGGTTTATGGCACTGCAGTCTGGATCACAAAGAGTAAAATCAAACAAGTCTGCTGCCCTTCCTCATGAAAATTTGAGAGGAAAGAGTCTAATGGCCATAATGTCAAAAATGATTCTGTCTTATTTTTGCTTGTAAATGCTTCTCTGCTTAATTTTAGGTACATAATTTCTATAAACTCTAAAGTAAAAAAACCCCAGATTTTTTTGAAGTTTAATACCACTTTGTTTCTCTTCATTCTAATGATATTTTTCTTTCAGTAGGCAAAAAGTATAAATATCTTCAGTTTTTCTTTAATTATAGATGTGCAGACAGTGCTGTTTCATTACTCATTTTCAAAAGCATTTGCTTTGAAAAGCATGTTTCACATTCCAGAATAACACATCTTTCTAAAGACTGGTATGCAATTTTCTGTTTTTCTTACAACAGTCTCTTAGACTTCCACTTACAAACTATGGACTTGTTTTCCCTTCTGTTCTTTTGTTAGAACTAATCTGGAGAATGCGTAGAAGCCTTTAATTATCAGATAAATTACAGCTAAGTGAAAAGGCACCTCATTCTCTGTCCTTTGCTGCCTGTGATGTTTGCTTAAACTGACAGGTTTCAACTTAATTTGTAACAGGAGAAAAATTACATCAGTTTTAAACTCCATGTGGCAATATCACCACCCTTTTGGTGGTCAGGGTACAATGATGGATGAACTGAGAAGAGACAATGTGACCATCACTTTGCAAGAGCAAAGATATCCTATTACCCCTGCTTAATACCACAATGCCACAATTCTATGCTTAGAAAATTTCTGCTACTACAGAAATATTAAATAATAGTGACAAATTCTGGTTTCATCCACCTTTTCTGTGTTTTCTGTTGTTTTCAAAGCAAATGTGAACACTCTTGTACTCACTCTGACATTCTATGAATTGATGAATAAAAGTGCAGTCCCCTCCACTCTTTGAAAGAAAGTGCTCTAGTAGAGAAAGAAACACTTCAGTTTACATCTTCTTATCATTTTCAAATTGATGCAACAAAAAATTTGAAAGGCATATTAACAATATTTGTCAGTGTATTCACGATGGACTTTTGAATCAATCTGAGTTAATATGCAAGCAGACAAGACATGAAATTGAAATGATGTCTGAGGGATACTAGGAAATAGATTACTCTTTTAAACTGGTCAGAAGAAAGAAGCACTTGAGCTGCATTTTCAAAAGAAACATGTTTTTAACCTATATGCTTCAGGATTTTTATTAGCTTTAAAAGGATATTTTAAAAGTTTTTCATTAATCTTCACGTTGATTCTTCATATCTAGAATCCTGTATTTTACAAGTGTTACTGAATATATGTCTATATTTTTTAAACAGTTTCACTTTGAAAAGACAGTTCTGCAGCAGAGTTCCTAAAACTGGGCTCTGCTCCCAGGTCCTTGCTCAGCCCCCAGCTCCAGGAGAATCCTGCATCTCCTCAAGGTGCAAACACTTCCTTTCTGAAGAACCTCAAAAATCCTTTGACCAAGAGTCCAGCAGTGGGAAAAGGCCAGCACCAGCACAAACCTGCAGGATGTGCTACATTCTAACCAAACTACTCAATCATTAGCTCTGATAACAGAAGTTCAACTGCTAAGCTTTACTGTACCTCAAAGTTACTCTAAAAAATAAACTTTTTTTAACCCACAAGGACAGAGCTTTTAAAAAACAGCACCATGGCTGTAAAATTTATTTTCCACATTTAAACTTCCTTTTTTTATTTTCTTTTAATTTTAACCTGGTCCTCTAAGTGATTGTATACAAATTTCTCTTATCTTCTTTATACAACATTTGGCTCACAAAATGTAAAAAAGAAAGCCAGGTGTGGTGCAACACACTGAGAAAAATACCACTTTTTGAAACAATTTAGTTCTACACAACCTTTATCAGGGGCTTGCTGTAACAACAAGTTCCTCTTTTCTGCATGTCCAGTGAGAGAAAATGAATGCCTAACCATCATCCTCTAATACACTTTTTTAATTAAAAGCCACTGGAGAGGTTTCAGTTCCTCTAGTTCTTAGTTCCTCTGCCCTGAATACAGCTCCTGACTGCTGCAGCCACAGAAAAAAGTGATGTAAACCATTATTCCAGTCATGGCCAGGTAGTGTGCCTGTGCACACACTTTGAGAGAAAGAGAGAAAAAAGAATTTTTAAAAGCATACTGATTTTACATGGGTCTTACAGCTTTCATCTTTCTTTCTCAAAGTTGCTCAATCTGCATTATAAATCCAAAAATTCTTAGCTTTTCTAAAATAATGCAGAACTACATAGCAAAAAAAACCCAACAAACCAACCAACCAAAAAAACCAAAACAAAAAACACAAACAAATAAAAATCCCCCAAAACAACCAAAAACCCCAAACCAAAACAATACCAAACAAAACCCCAAAAACTCTCCACAAAAAAAAAAAAAAACAAAATCAAACAAAACCCCCAAAAACCCAGCAGTAACTGCTTCCTGCTGCTTTTAAGAGAACAAAATCCAAAATCTGACAGAGCAAATAACTGCCCATCTGTCATACAAGGGCTACACAAGGGACTGGAAGATGCAAAAAGGCACAGACTGTCATGAGGAGAACACAGGGCAGCAAGCTGTAAAATGCCAGAGAAATGGAGATGGAGCAGGTAAGGCAGAGATGCAGGAAAATGTACAACTGACAGAATAATGAAAAGCTGCACTAAAATACAGAATAATGGAAGGGGCATGGTATGTGCATGACAAAAAAGGTGATAGATTGTATAAACACAGAAAGAGACTTGAATGAGCAGTTATATGTTGTCTGTACTCAAAGAAAAATAACCTGGCAAAAAGCTTCCTAAAACTTCCAGGTTTAAGTACAAGTTCCTCTGTTACTCATGGGATGGAGGAATCTATTTTGTCATGCATCAATTCAGATGACACTGACTCTTGTACAACCCAAAAGAAGTCCAAAAGGGATTGCTTCTTCACCTTTGACCAAAAAAGTGAGTTTCAATGATATAATGGTATTTGTTATAATCACATAATGATTTTTAAATGGGCAATTTTAAAATTTGGACTCGTAAAAGGAATCAGTATTTAAAAATCTCACATGACATTCCTGCCAACAATTTTAAAACAAACAAAAAGTGTTTCTTTAAAAAAAAAATCAAATCTAGTATCATGTCATAAATCACTCCTCTGTAAAATCATTTATATTTGAAGTTAGAGCTCAAAAGCTTTTACAAAATGTGTGAAATTAGCTCCAGTTTTAAAAAGAGAAAAGCAGATCTATTTCTTAACCATTCTATCAAATATTAAGCTATTACCAACCTAAAATTGGGCATGAGCAAGACGGAAATCTATATAAAAACAAAATCTCATGGCAGTGTAGAGAAGTGGGAACAAACATTGCATGTCCTGCTTGCTAAGCTCAGGATGCAGCACAGCTCAGTGCACAAAATGCTGAGGCACTCAGGGGGAACCAGTACTCTGAGCTTTAGGGGAGGCTTTGGTGCAGCTCCTGTAGGTGTTTAACTGACCTCTCCTCCTGCTCCCAATAAGGAGGTTATATCATGATTAACTTTTGATTTTGCTATTGGTCTTCCTAGTTAAGAACCTCATAATTTATAAATATGCATATGGAGCTTTAAAATTCTGTTTCAAAAATATAAATACAGGAACCCTTAAACACTGTGAATATTGGTTAAAACCCTGAGCTCTCTATATAGGTCCCTCAACCTTCAAAGCAATGTTACCACCATCCCTCAGACTGTAGAACCAAGCTACATCAAATTTAAATTGACATAAGAGGACAAATATATCTCAGCCAATTAAACAATCTGGAATCATAACTGGAATATTTTTTGCTATATGTGATATTGGACAATTTCACTCCAAAAACTGTGTATGTTAAGACACATGAGCTTAAGTATTTGCCTCTAACTAACTGGCCTTTAAAAACCCTATCACTTAGTTCAATCTGTATTAATTCCTGTTTCACATAAAGATACTTCTGGAGTTTTTACAAGTTAGTTTTCACTGTTTATAGATTTTATACACTCACATTTTTAATATGAAAGTTATAAAAAAATGGGTTTTGCTGACTTTACTCATCATACTTAACTTTACCAGAAAAACACTGTATGTCTATGTGTCGCAAGGGAAAATTAAAAAGAAAAACAATCAATGAGTTCTCCACTTTCTTGTGTCACAAACCTCACAACATTCAATCAGTAGACTCCTGATTCCAGTGACAGCCCATCACAAACAAAAAAAACCAAACCAGCAAAAAGAGACAGCCTCCAAATGGTTTTGTTCTATTTTGCAGAATTTTCTAAAAATACTGTGACTGGAAATATACACAAAAAAACCCCACAAAGCTGGTCAGGAGTGGACAAATTCATTTGCAAAGAGAAAAAATTCCAAGTAAAACTTTACAGAACATTTTGAATTTGTTCATTTTCAAACATTAACCATAAGACAAAAGGTAGCCCTCAGATACACTACCTTTCTCTGTGCTCCCATTAATTTTAGGTATGAAGTCGTCAACTTGTATGCCTAGGATTAAGAAAGGGCATTATTTTTGCAATAAAGAAAAATGTTTTGGGCTTTCTTTATAAACACAGCATTTTGAAATGTACCTGGCTTTTCAAACCACCTCCTCACAAGTACCTAATCAGACAAAGCAGGCAGTTTGATGTGTTTCCTGCTAGAGATGATGCTGCTGTTTGTTCAAACGTCTAAGAGGTTATTAACGCCAAAGAGTGACTGCCTATTACACAGATATACGTGTGTATAGGTGCATATAAAGTGTGTATAGATGGATATAAAATATGTTATAAAATGTGATATAAATCAAGCCCCGGGCCGGAGCGAACGCCCGCAGCAGCAGCGCCCTCTGCCGGCCCTGCCCGGCATGGCCCCAGCAGCCCAGGAGAGCTCCTTACTGGGGAAACTGGGAATCGGAATTCCTCTGCCAGACACCGAGACTACGAGATTATCATAACAAAGGTAACGGAACAGCGAACGCGGAAACCAGCTTGAAACAAGAAATGGATCGCACCTACCTAAGCTGTTGTGTTCTTTAAGAGTTTTCTCTTGCAGGTGTTCTAACCGTACTGTAAACAGAAGTCCAAGAAAAAGGTATTTCACAGATTAAAAGAAAAACAAATAATCCAAGTTCTTTCCCCGCTATTGACTAACCTTGTAAAGCAGTCAGCCGCTCATTGGTGAAGTCGTTATCAGCCTGCAAAGCTTCTATTTTTGCTTGAAGCTCTTGCTCTCTTTCTTCCATTTCATCTATTTTATGCTGCAATTCCTTTTTCTCAGCCAGTCCTTTTTGTTGGATTTCTTCTTGTCTTCCTTCTGCTACCTGCTCCAAAAGATTTTTTAAATCCGTCAAAAAATCAAAATTAACACGTGGAAGAATAGATCATCTTGATTTTTATGCAACTAAATGTACCTAACTGACTTTCTTAGCTAATCAGATTTTAAAAATGAAAAAAAAAAATCAAATCTACTACCTTTATACAAATTTCACTACAAGTAGACTGAGAAAATCTCAAAATATCTGAAGCAACTTTTTGACTGAGGAACATAAGTTTAACAGCAACAGTAAAGGGCCTTAGAATTAAGAATGCCCAAAGTCTCCAGCATCTCAATTCAATCAAAACCCAAGAACCCTTCTGAACTGAATGTACACTGCACAGACTATCTTGATTGCAAGCCCCATCTTTTTCCTTGCTGAATCTCAAGAACATAAGTTTTAAACTGTCTCCTCCCTCAAAACAAGGTAATAAATTTCAGGTCTGATCCTTCTGGGTACACTCATCACCATCAGTGATCAACCCATAACTGGGAAACCAGCTGCCTTAGGAGCAGCAATTTAATCTTTCCATTTGGAAAGAAAAATTTTTCTGAGGTACTGAACTAGAAACCTGGGTTCCAATTCCAGTATTTATCCAATATAAATGCAACAACTGCCTCAGGTCTCCAGAGATAACACCATTACCTTCCTCCTCCACAACTCCCACTTAACTAGACTGGAGACTCTTGGAGAATAGGCTTTATCATAGTGATTCTTCTGTTCTCCAGCATAAAGGACCTTAAGTACTAATTTACTTTATTCATAGACTTAGATATTGACACTATTGCTAACTGTTTAACAAGTTTAACTTTTTTGTTAGCTGCATTAGAAATTAAACTGTATTTATTTGTTCAGTTTATCACATTTATTCTATCCTAAGTCAGAGAAATTCTGTCATTACCTTTAGCTTGTCAGAAAGATCTTTAATTTCATTTACAGCTCCATTGTACTTATTAGCTAATTCCCTTAATTCTTCCTGAGTCCGCTCATTCATCTCTTTCAGGTGTGTACATTCATCTTCTGTGTTACTTAAACTCCGCTGCAAGACAGAATAATTATGCAATAAATAATAACAAAAGACAGACAAACTACCAAACACTGCAGGTGATCTATTTTTTCCAAGCAGTATTTATGCACAGGATGCCAACTAGTTTTATGAGACTTCTTGACCAAGGGAATATAGCAAATAATGATAAAGAAAAAGGAAATAAAGGAAAAGAGGATAATGTGAAATATTATAAGGCAGAAAATCTTACTTCAAAAGAGTGTCTAAAACTTTGACTGTAAAAGCTCCTTTAAGCACACTTTGTACAGTGGTCGAGTGCATATTTCCATAAATGCTGCAGTTTAAACAAGGTCTAACAGCATTTATTTAATGTCATTTTCCCTGTGTTTGTCCCACACACAGTAACTTCTGTAAGACAGCATCATGAATTTTGAAAGCAGGGAGAAAAGGGAAGAGCTGAAAGAATAGTTTCTCATTAACAGTTTAACAATCTTAGCCCTGTCCAACAGGAGAAATAAACACTATTACATAATATCCTGCAAGTGCAGAGTACAACAGATACTGACATAACACAGCAACAAAGTAGGGATCTAAACAGGAGTAGTTACAACTATTTCAGCACTTCCAGAAGAACAGGCATGAAACTTCAGTACCTCCACTTCAGATAGTTTTCTGACCACTTCAATTTTCTCCTGAAGGACCCGCCTCAGGGACTCTTTGGCTGTTGTCTCATAGTTGTGTTTGTCTTCCTGTAATGCTATAAGCTCTTTTCGTATACTGTCTTCTGTTTGATTCTGCACATAGAAAATAATTCAAGAATAGAATAATTAGCGTTTTGCTCATTAAATAAGTTAGATTGTGATAAAGCCTGTTCTATTAAAAAAGGTTTAGCAACTTCTGATAGATGAGAAAATGTTATGTTCAAATCAGCGATCAAAGACTTCTGATGTGACAGGGTATAAGTAAGTGATTTTTTGACAGCACACATTCAGTGGTCAGTTTTGATCCCAGTAGAATTATGGCACTTTTTTTGGGCAGTGCTAAGACAATGTGAAGCCTAGGAGACATAGAACTGGACAAACCAGGTCCCAGGGGAAAGACCTTAAACAGGACCTGCAGAAAAAGTTTTTATAATTTCGATAGTTAAGAGGAAATAGAAATAAAATAAAAATTAAAATCCAAGGTAGACATAGGTGGCCTAAGCAATAACCAGGGAAGCACATACTTGTAACTCTGAATATCAGACAGGACATGGGCAATGAAAACAACAGCAACTTACTGAAATGCCTTGAAATACAGAGCAGATGTACAGTTTTTGTGCTACTCAGATTATCAAAGTTGCACAGACTCCTTTTGGAAAGCTTATGTTCCAAATGCTTTCCTACAACTAGCTACTTCCAAAACACTTGAAAAGGGCTGCCTTTCAGCATTCCTAATATTTGACTTCAAGTGAACTACTTACCTTTGAACAAGCTTGCAACTGATTTCCCATAACCTCTAGTCTTGATAGCAGCCTGTCTTCATCTATTAAAGCCTAGAAGAAAAAAATTATCACCTTAGAATTATCCCATGCTTAATATAGTGCCAGTAGAATTCTGCTTTAAAGATCAGAATTTTGTTGGAGTACTTACTGCTAATAGCTATTTCAAAGGTACACAACCACTAAATTTATTAAACATTGTATTTTGCACAGTTTTAGAGAATCACCATAAAGTTTTTATTATTTCTGCCGCTTTAATTTATATGGCTAAATTTATATGGCAGTGCTCAGTTGAGTCTATAAGGAAAGGATCCTGCAGATACCTGCCAACTAGTATCTGAAGCCTCTTGTGTGACAGCAAGTAGTCGCTGAAGGGTTGCCAGCTTCTGTTCCAACATTTGTTCCCGATGTAAGGCTTCCTGTGAAGAGAGCAGGGCACCACTCAGCTCAGCTAGAACAACTCAGGAAATCAGAAACAACAGAAGAGACCCCAAAATACAACAAAAAAATGTGAGTAGCAAACACTGTCAACTTGTTCAAAACCATAAACCCATTCCATTATATCCATCCACAAATTGATTTGGATAGTTTAATTAGAAAATGCTATCCTATAACCTCAGGTTCCTAAACCATTCATTTTTCATGCTATGCTGCACATGCTGAGGACACACTGTTATTCTTCCCAAGACTTAAAGATACTTCATCTCCTCAATAATTTAAGTAACAAAACTGCAGACACCAAAGGACAGCTTGGCAGCTTCCATGCCATGAGCTGTTCATCCTCAAATGAGGTCACAAAAGAGAAATGCCAAGCAAGAACTACTATTTCTGTTTGATTTTTGGTTTATGACAGGAAGACAGAAGAGCATCTTCGTTAACTCCAGGATATGGAGAGAGAACAGATTGGTGAGTGAATATGTATTTGGCTTCCAAAGAAAGAGCATCTGCATGAGCTCCTTCCTGCTATGTCAGCAAATACATGTAAAGACAGTATCTATCTCAAAAGCCTTGATGTGAACAAATAAAAATTGCCATTATGAAATAAACCAGGCAAAATAAATCAGTAGAACTTATACACAGTTAAACCTGGAAAGAATTTAGCAGCCAAGAAGTTTTCCTTTTTTTTCTCAGAAAGCTGATTTTACCATCCTTTCTAAAGAGTTTTCTTTTATCTACCAGCACACAGTTTAACATGCTACCATTTTTCAGTCTAACTCTTTTGTGCCATGACATCTTGGGAAAAGCACACCTATTAAACTGACACAGAAGCAGGCACAGAAAGGCTGGTGATGCCAGTGAGGAAGAAGAGCTGCCAGCACTGTCCCTTCCTTTGTAGTTTCCAATAGATACAAGCCACAGCATAAGATCTGTGTTTTGAACAAAAATATTCAGCCAAACTAAATGCCCTTAAAAGAAAACTTACTTGTAGATACTGTGAAAGCTGAAACAATTCCTGAGAATACATACTGGGAGTGTTAGCAGCAACCTGAAAAAGAAGACAAGTAAGAATTAGAATGGTTTTAGATTTTTCATTAAACAGAAGTAATGCAAAATTCACTTAAATCTAGTCACAAAGGCAAACATTACATTATCTAATAATAGCTTCATTTCTTGTTCTGTTATTTATGCTTTTTTTAATCACAGAACTTCCCGACTTGGGACTTAGGTCTCACTGTGTTTCTGCACAAGTTCTTGAACCACCAAGACACTAATGAGTTTAAAGCTTTTGGTATAGTTGAGACTGAATTGACAACAAAGAAACAAGGGGCACAAAGGTGAAGCCATTCAACTCATTGGCAAACACAAATTGTGGGCTTCCAGCTCAATGTCACCACACATATTACGGCTGCACACTTCCTGCTTACCCACGAGTTACCATCATTGTCTCCCTTTATAAGCATCTATTTCAGAATTAAGGAATACCAGTGTTATCTTTGAGTAATAACAAACTGTTCTTCACTTGGAGAGAAGTGGGGGGTTGTTCTATGGGTTTATTTCAGCCAATCTATTTACTAATTCTTGTAGGCTTCCTACATTGAAGTAATTTTTAACTGTTTTCCCACAGTTATACCTGCAGTCCCTCCTCAGGATTTCTACCCTTGCCCTGGATTCAAGCCACACATATTATTTAGAAATCTGAATTTAAACACAGTCTATAAACTCCTCAGGCTGCTGGTTTCATAACTAAGTTTCCACAGCTGCTTGATATTTTGTTCTTCAAGTACAAAACTCTGACTAGAACATATTTAAGTTAATCCTTCTTTTTAGAGGCTAGAGAAATAATCAACTCCTGATCACTTTTATCAAGGGAATATCCATTAGCAGCTTTTCTGCAAGTCCCCCACATTACCAAAGCTGAGTTTTAGAATTACACTTTACAATACTGACTCCATGACTCTACAGTGAGCAACTCTGGCTCTACAGGAGAGGCAGAGAGGTTTGGTCTCAGTCTTCCTTGGGAACACAACAGTGCTTTCCAGACTGTGCAGCACAGCTTCTCCTCCATAAAAAAAAACGATATAAAGAAAACAGACCTCATCCAAACACCAAATCATGAGCTACTCTTGGGTCCCACAGAACATCAAGTATTCAATTATGCAACACCTGTTAGTCTGTCAACCTGTACCTGGAAATTAACCATCTTAACAGCAATGGTTTTGTTCCAAAACCATGTTTCAGGTGCCACAATGTAACAAGTCAACTTACCTTCAAATATACACTGCAATAACTGCATTACTTCTCTACCTTAAATGTCACTCAAAATACTGAACTAGGTAAAAAGAGTCAGTGGAAAACATATCAAAATGTTACTGGACAGATTTCACTATTTCTTCATCTTGATAACAAATCTGAAAATAGCATGTGTGTCAATAAGGCATAAACGAGGAAATTACTGAATTACCTTGTCAACAGGACTTGGTAATGGCGCATGGATAACACTGAAAAATAAAAAAATGGGTCACAAAATACATAAATGTTGTACTCGGACTATTTCATCATAACTAAAAATATAACAACATACATTTTTACTATTTCTTATTTAAACATGAAATTATATGGAAAATCTTCTATAGTAATTTACTTTTACTGATCTTCCCACAAGCAAGCAAAGACACCCTAAAGCTTCACACAAGTATTTCTGGATAGTAATGATAAAAGGATATTTAAATAAGCAATAAACCCTACAAAACTTTGGATAATGAAAAATGACTAAAATTATGCCATTTGTGATTAGCACTCAGAGCACACAAATTTTTAAAGTTTTTGGTTTCTACTGGTCTTGGAAGATTTCTTAAAAATGGGCATATAGACAGAAAATGCTGCCAATATTCATCTGAGTTTCCGTTAGCTTCACTTTAGTAAAGTTTATGTGCATCTAGAAGAGCCAAAAGACTAATCACTACTAAAGAGGGCAGGAGAATTTGCTTATTTGCTTTGTTTTTCTCTATATTCTTCTCTTTCTAATACCAATTTCAGTAGAGTAAACCACAATCAGAAAAGCCCAACTACATATGAATTTTCTTCTTCCTCTAGAGAACTTCTTTATTCTTCAGAGTTGTCTTAATTACTAAAAACAACAAACAAATGAGTTTTTATTCCTCATAATGCCTGCAAAAGAACCATGCACTCAGTTACTCGCTTTGCAGGATTACAGGCAAACCAACTGCTCCCATGATGATTTTAAACATAATATCCATCAAATCCTCGTCACACAGTAGCTGAACTTTGGTAGATGTGAATCCATATCCTTACTCTGATCGCAATCGAGCTTCCATTCCATCTGGAAGGAACAGTTTGATTGTGGAGACTATACATCCATGGGTCACTGAAAAGAAACAAACACTAAGTCATCATGATCCATTACTACTTCATTTCAAGTTCAGTGCTTCATGTTACAGTGACCAAGCAAACTGTCTAAAGAAACCCTGAGGCAGGCAAAGAGGAGGAGGCATGAACACCTTCAAGCACCAGTGCCTGGGTCTGCCTTCTCAAACCTCCCCTGGACACAGGAAACTTCATCATTATAAACCTGAAGAGGTCATGCTGTGTACTCAGTCCTGGCTGTGGAACAGTTCCACTTCCAACTCTTCCACATGCTGCAATATCTGAAACTTGTCTTTACTGTACTAAGTTTAAAAAGTGAATGTTTTGATCATAAGGGAGTGAAACAGAAAGGATCTTACCTGCAGCAGGTAACAGGAATGCAGAGGTATAAACAAAATAATGAGCTGCCTTTTGGACAAGATTCTGACAAGCATATCCAGAGACTTAGAAGGTAATATGTCCAATTTGTGTCACCGACACTTCAAAATGTGGAACTTGCCAAGCAATTATTATTTACAAAAAAGGGTGGAAAAGGAAATGCAGAGAAGTGTGCAGGAACCACTGAGAACTACATCCTTTTGAACACTGTAAGCAGCATCATTCAAGACAACACATTTCTATTTTGGGGTGCTTGCAGTGCACATCTACTGCATAGCCCCAGCCAAGTGGCCTTTCATTTCAGAAGAGGTAAATTTGCTCCTTAAGAACTAAATTCAAGATTTGTTTAACTTGAGAAAGATCCTAAGGAATAAGAGGAAGAAATGCAATATTTGATTTTTACATCAAATTCAAACCTTCTACACAATGTTTTGAAAAATATTACTGATATGATTTTCAGTGCCTTTGCAAACAGTCAAATTATGTGTGTGTCTTGGTTGACTTATTTTCCCTGTATGGTTCTATTAATTGGAAAGCAAAAATTATTTCCAGATACATGGAAAGACAGCTGTACATTGTTCCCAAAACACTACCACAAGTGAGATACAAATGAGTGTGTGGTCACCTATCATGGACCACTGTACCTCCAGCATCCACTAACACACAAAACAAATAGCTGCTCTCCTTCCTCTGTTATTAATATCAGCACAACAGTTAATCTGGCTGTGGAAAAAAAAGGGCAATGGGCGTTTTAGGACACTGGTAATTCTCCAGGGAAATGAGACAGGTCTTTAAGGAAGCTACCTCAATAGAATCTAAATATAGAGGAGAAATGATCCAACCAAGACAAGTTGGTTTTAACCTTTATTTAGCTAATGCTTTGGAGACGTATTCTACTGGCTAGAGCATCTTGTTTTTTTTCAAGCTGACCTGGTAAAGTATTAAATTTACATGCCAAGGCAGAACAGATTAAACTGCAGGGTTTGGGGTCTTGATTTATAAATTGAATAAATCCAGTTTGCAAAAAACATTTTAAAAATACATTAGCGATATTAGCTGTACCCTGTAATACATAGCTTTCACAATGCAGAGTTCTTTCTTTTAGAGGAAATCAGTGATTTTAATAAGAAAACATTAGGATACCTGACATTAAATGGCAACAGACAGCTTTACCTTCGGGTCACATGTCAGGTAGGTCTGCTGTAAGATTATATAATTCTGAAGTTTTTCTGTCAACATCTAGACCGAAAAAAATCTCCTAAAATCTGCAGGAGCTTTATTTGTATCAAATTAAGATATAACAGACTTCTAGCAAAAGGTCTCAAATAGACAGTGACTGGGAAAAGGTACCAAGCATTTTTACAAATTTATAAAATTAAAATAGTAAGAAATGAAACAATATCCAAACTCTGCAGTATGACCTTAAGCTATCAGTTCACTGCAACTGGAAAAATAAGGAGAAAGCAACACAGAAAACACGAAAACAGTACTGACTGCACAGAAGAACAGCAACGGTTTAAATTCAGGTCTACAATATTTCTTGTGAGGAATTAACAAGAAAAGGCAGTAAAGCAACGACTGGTGTCCCAACGGAGCCGAGGCACCCCTTGTCCCCGCGGCTCACCCCCCTCTCCATCCCACTCACCTCGGGGCGCTCCGCGGGGCCGCCGCTCCCGCCCGGCCCCGGCACAGCCGGCATTGCGCAGCGCCGCCGCCAGGGGGCGCCCCAGCGCCGGCCACCGCGGCCGCCGGCTCCGCCCCGCCCCGCGCGGCCTCCGGAGCGGGAACAGCGGCTCCACAGCCACGGCTCCTCCACAGCATCGAACTGCGGCTCCACAGCCACGGCTCCTCCACAGCATCGAACTGCCGACCCACAGCCACGGCTCCTCCACAGCATCGAACTGCGGCTCCACAGCCGCGGCTCCCGCCACAGCCACGGCTCCGTCCAGAGCATCAAACTGCCGCCCCACAGCCACGGCTCCGTCCAGAGCATCACACTGCCGCCCCTTAGCCACGGCTCCCTCCGCGGTGTGAAACAGCTGCCCCCCATTCACAGCTCTCTCCACGGATTAAAACCCTGCTCCTGCTCCATTTGCTTTTCCACACTTCAGTCACAAACTTCTTGGTCCACTTCAAAACAAGCAGCTGACCCACATTTCACAGCTCTGAAACCCCTGAGACCCATCCTAAACCCTGACAGGTTCTGCTGCACTACAGCACAACGGGAACACAGAAACCATTTCTGTTTGTCTCAGTTTTTGTTTCCTAGAGAGACAATTCCCCAAAGATGCGTTTGTTTCTATTTTCACTTGTTAATGTGGTACCCAGCCCCGAGGAGCCCCCCACACCCCTCGGGGGTCTATGCACTGCCCGGCAGCCCACAATGCTGCGGGGCTCCCCACTTACATGACCTCCCTCAAACATCCCATGACAGAACACATGCATGAGAGTCCAAACCTGACTAGAAAAATGTGCATAATTGGCATTTGAACTAAATCATGTTGGAATTATTTGACCTTGCTTTGCAATGCTGCTGCTGTTTGCTGTGCAGGGAAGTATCACCCATTAGCTCGGAATGCTCTGGCACAAGTGGGAAATTTAAAAAGTGCTAAAAGAATATAAACTACACTACCACAGAGAAAAAGCACAGGTTACTGCTGTATTAAGGAGAGGGAAATGGTGGGGCCCCTGTGCTTGTCAGTACTACAGCAAGTGGACAAATAAGGAAGCAGGACGGATGCAAACACTTCTCCAGGACCTGTTACTGAGTTTGGCTCAGCAGCAGGAAATTGAGGAATTGGTTCTCACACTTGATAACCTGAAAAATCACATACTGAACATGCCACTATTTTAATGAACCAACTCCAGATCACATTTGCAAGGAAATTACTTACTAAAACACAGCCTGAACAATAAAATAAATGTATTCTAGCAACGCTAACAGAATTCAGAATTTACATGGGCAAGTACACTCGTTCTGTCCTGTCATTACCTTATAATTACACACAGCAGATTGCTGACGTGTCTTGTGCAAGTAAGGCATTATGTAAATACCAGAGTGCAAAGTGCTTTTAAAGGGAATCACTAATTTAAAAACTACTTTCCTGTCTGTTTCATAACTAGATTAGAGTAACAGTAACATCTAAGCCTACTGAAACCAACTAGTGAAAAACCCATGTTTATATGCATTCCAACCATATTCATAGGTAAACACCCTGTGATGATACCATCTTCATTCTCTGCTTGGGGGAGCAGAGAGGGAAGAAACCAAACTTGTATCCTCTTCCTCATTAGAGAGCTCAACACATTCATGAGTAACATGAGCACAGCTTCCAAGTTCAAAGCCAGAGAAAAGGACAAGGAAGGCTGCATAATCTGATCACTCATTACACAAATGCCAGGTCACCAGCATTTGTGTAATGTATTGTGCTTTGTAAAACTAAGACAAAACCACAGCAAATAACTACTACTGGCAAAAATTCATGGCAAGAATTTGCTTACTATGAACTTTGTGCAAATACTTCCATGAACTAACTGCAATGCGCTGATAAAAGCAAGTCAAGTCCAATTTCTCTTCCAACTAAATCTTATAATAAAAATTGTTTTAGTCTAAATAACTTGAAGAAATTCAACTCCTCTTAGCAAGGACAGCATCTCATCAAATTAATAGTTCCAAGTTCATTAGATGCAGTGTATACTCTTGATCTCTTCCATGTGTACTGCTAGTATTCATAAATGTTTACAATCACTTCACATGGAAACACTTTCAATAACTCCCAGCAATTTCAGCTAGGCACCCTGGAGTTGAACCTTTGCAACATCATTTTTGAGAAGAGTAAAACAATGTGCTAAAACCTTCACTATAATGAATCACTCAAAAATCCTGCAGCTCCAAAAGCTCCTGATGACAAAATACCGCCACCATCATTACTTAATAATGTTTTCTTTAAACACATTCATTAACCTTCCTCTGACACTTCAGATCTGAGAATTACAACCCCATCTGGCTAAAGACAAAATTCATGAGTAACAGAGCAGGTGCTATCTCTATGTTTTGTTCACTTAAGGTACTTTAAGAAATTCTCCTGTTGTACTATGGTTTGATTTGTGGGGCTTGGGGGGGGGGGCTGCTTTGATGGATGTTTCATTTATTTGCTTGTTTTAAAAAACTTTATCACCAGCCTTCCAATTTAATATTATTCTTTCATTCTTCTCTAATACACTTCTCTTTAAGGATAAGCTCTATGAAGGTCTTGTTCAGAAAAGCAATAAAGGGGTGATGGCAGTTGACCTTTAATGCCAAATCCATGTGCTACTGAGTAGGTAGGATTCTGCAGAACATGGTCAGATGTTCAATGCTTACAGAAAGCAGCAGACACATTAGGGAACTTTAAAAAGTCTTGACAAAACTGATTATAGTCTGACAATCCCCATACAGACCAGTCTCCAGAAAGATAAAGAAATGGTTCTGACATACAATGTAATTTCAAAAGAAAAGAGATAGAGGTTGCATTTTAATTAACACAGATACAGAGCTAATGCCATAATACAAGATCTCCTGAGCATGCATACTGGGAAGAAGACAGCAAGAAAAACAAACCAAACAAAAATGCCATCACCTTGTTTGTCAGTTAGCAACTTCTTTCTATTCTCATTTTAAAGTACCTGCAGAAATCAAAATCAGTAGCTGACACAGAAGGAAACAGTGGGTACCCTGAAAAGAATTGTTAGCCTGTTTCAAACCTACACTGACTACTTGATCAAGAAATTCAGGTTCATACTTCTGCCACACTATTAGCTGAAATTTTAAGGTTCAAAGGGCTTGAAAGAAAGGTAATGAAAATTATAATAATAAAATCCAAATACAAAAAGCCCAATACAGCATTACACACACATGCTTGTGTTGCACTTTTAAAATGGCTGTAGGTCAATTTAAGTGAGGCAATAGATGAACACATAGCCCCAGCTGAGCCTCCTTTTCCAGACCTACACTTCCCCTGCACCCAGTAAGGAAGAAAGTAGGCCATGGAAACAACCCAGTAAAGTCCATCTGGGGGTGTGAGGGCAGAAATAGAGCCTGTATTTTCAGCAGACATGTTTCTTGATCAGGTACCACATGGCACCAGGGCTCACTGCCAGCACAAAGGAGGGAAGAAGTACCAAAAAACCAAACAAGATTGTTTTCTTACAATGGGAATGCCATTTAGTTTTAAAGACTGGATTGTAGTAAGATGTTCCAAATAAATATACTTGAAAAGAAACCAAAAAATGATCCATACCCTTACCTTTCCGCGTGTTCTCCGTCACATCTACACCAAACTGGATTATGTCACCTGACATAATTTCACATGGTGGGCTTTCCTCAGATCCTCTACTCAGTCTCTGACTATTAATAAAGGTACCATTACTACTTTTAGTGTCTTGAAGATAGAACTGTAAACAAACAAACAAAACCAACAGTAAGATATTTGGGAAAAGTAAGACAAGAAATACAAGCACAAGTAAAATTTCATTTATATAAAATTTATTTCTAGAAGATAACAAATGTATAAAACTCTAAACACCCTCATCAGGATGTAAAACCTTCCCATCATCAAGAAGTATTTGTATTTGATTTTGAGTTCACATATGATTGAATTCTAGCACATACACTATGCAAATAATTGCTACAAAGTGTGCCAGAACTACTGCCTGCAATAGAGGATCACACGTCAACAGCAGCAACACCTTTTGCCACATACATACAACAATTCATATTTAAGTTGGTCAACACACAAAACTTCTAACTGCTCATACATTCAAGGTAACAGTATTGCATGACAATCATGCTGCAGGGAAGGCTACTGAAGGAAAACCTCTGGCAAAAGAGAATTCAGGAACTGCAATGAAAGACCGTGGTGGAACTTGAAGAAAACCAACAGGATGCTTTTACTAGCAATACTAGTTCACATCATTAACTAAATTCAAGATTTCAAGTACTTTTGTAAACACCCAACTGCAGAATTAATTAAATGTTAATAGAAACCTATTGAATCTGAAACTGCTTTTATGATGCAAGACTTGTAGCCTAAACTTCTGCATCTGAAAAGAGGTTACAAATGAATCATCCAGCAGAAAACCAGAGTGACTGGCTGTGACTGAGCAGTGACAGCACAAAAGAGGGGACCAGAACGCTCCTGATAGCCAGGTGTAACTACTGGAATGAGTCAATCTCACTACTCCAAGATAACAATAGCTACTACAGGAACCTGCTGGAATGGTAGAAATCACTGGCCTCCTGCACTCAAAGAATCTCATCAAGTCCCAAAGCAGGCATAAGATAGGGGAAAAAGATGTGTTCAGAGAAATGAATGTATTTCCATCTTTTTCTTATAAAACCAATTGACCTTTCCTTTTTTGCAGCATTCCCTACAAAATTTTCCATGTTTTTAACTGCCTCTATTATTGCAGGCCTCAAAAAAACCCCCTGATACATAGCTCAAAAGCACAGTGAAGGGGAAAGATGAATTTTGAATGGAGTGAGAGTAGAGCACCAGGGCTCCTTAGATCTTGTATTGGAAAATGACACACGAGACCGATCTTATATGGCATAACCCAGTGGCCCTAAGCACAGAGCTGGAGTTCCATTGTGTCACTGGACTCACTAATCAAGGGCAAGGCCAGCACAGAAAGCCCATGTAGGTGTTAAAAATGAAATGCAGTATGTGAAAAGAATGAAAAGCAGTATGTGAAAGACTTCCCTTCCCCCAACAGATAGGCCTTAGATCTTCAATTGAAGGAAAACAAAACAGTAATCTGTCATAAGCTGATAAAGATGAAGGTAAACATAAACTATGGATAGATCAAGAAATTCTGACTGCATTCACTGTATTAATAATCAAACCCACTCTAAATAATACTCTCCATAGTATTAAATACTATCTATTAACACACTAGTATATCATACAGCTTTTATAAGTTATATGCTTTAAAGCCACTCAAATTAATTTGCTTGTTAATTTAATAGGCTGAAAGTACAGAACCCTCTCTGCTCAGTGCAGAGGTAATTATTTCTTGCTTCCTGTTTGTTTTCAATTAGCTTTCTTCTTCATTTGAAAATTCTTCTGTTATGAAAAAGTGAGTCACAGGCAAGGAGAAACAAACATGCTTCTGCTTATTTGCTCTTCCCCACCCTTTTCTTCTCTGTGCATATCTGCCTTTTATCCCTCCCAAGGTTTTGATTAATCACTGCCCCTTGTAACCACATTTTTGCACAATCTGCAAATGGGACTCAGACAAGATAGCACAAGGAAATACAGGACAGTGACGACAGGAAAAGAAATGCAACAGATCATCAGCCATACAAAACTTGTAAAACATCAGCAGAGACAACATTCAAACGGCAAAAGGATATTTTTAAACAAATGTCTACAGAAAATACACATTGCATTTAATATTATGTAACTTATGTCCACTTAAGTGCATACTACTGAATTGTATTACATAAGTTTTAGAAAAGTGATCCTGTTCAAGTCTTTCCATCCTGTTTGTAAATATGCTTCTTCCTGTATCCAGAAGAAGCAATATCAGCCACATGTTAGTAGCTCATGTCTGAGGAAGGGAAAACACACTGCCTTCAAATCTTGCTATAAAGGATTCAGTTATCTTTAAGGTAGCCATTCCTCAGGAACCCACTGAGTCAGCCCCTTTCAGGTAGCAAATTCCAAAGTTACTTCCATGCTGGTTTTCACTAGTCCAAATGATGTTTCTCAAAGGTCAATCTCTCCATCCCTTCTGCATAATTACTAAAGCTATCTTCAGGAAATAAAATCAAGTGCAAGCCCTGAAACAAATGTGTCTATACATCAACTAATACTGTGGCAGCATACTGGTTTTTATGTACTATTTAATTATGCAGTAAGCACAGTGGGTCCTCAGATTCCCAAACCAACACCTTTTAGACAGCAGCTGTGTGACACAGCACCTTCTGGGAGCCCAGCACCCCTTGTCCTCCCTGCTCCCAGCACACCCAGGCAGCAGTGCCAGCTCACAGGGCAGCAATGCCTCCTGCCCTTCCCAGCTCTCACTGCCGAGCTGTGCCACCACCTCCCCACCTGGACTGGCTCAGGCACTTGCTCAGTCACTGCAAACCAGTTTCGAGCAAGGTAAACAAGGAGGTGCTTAAGCTGACAGAAAAAATGGCAGCATATACTGGCCTAATTACACTTGCTTTTATAATTCACTCTCCAGAGCGAAGTCCCAGCCCTTTTGCACCTCATATGAACAACAAGTCCAATGTAGAGCAGAGATGGCAGCTCACACACATTCAAAACAACTCAGCTTTTGAGGACTGTTAAAGCATGACCACATCCTTAATTCAAGGGATAGCTGTATAATTGTGTGAGGGCTGGTTTCCCCTCCTTTCATAAAAAATACAAGGTAACACACAAAGTATTCAAGAAACTCATGTTCCATTATCATAACATCTCAACCAAAAGTCTCTTCTAGTCTCTCTTTCTTCTTTATAATTTATCCTTTATATGCCCTCCCACCTACAAGCCATTAATAAGACCAATTAACCGCAGACACCTTACCAGCCTGCTTCCACAAAATTTTTGAAGATTTTATTCTCAAATAAAACTTGCAGGTCATCAGTACACACAAACTTCTCCAAGTACAGTCCACCTTCCTTAGAAACTATATTATGGAAGTTTCAAAAAGCTACAGATTTTTGTTTCCCTGTTTTCAAGGAATTATGTATTTATTTCACAAACTTAGTATTTATCGTATTTCAAATTAGTCTTCAGTTTTGCAAATGAAACAAAGGCACCTCCTCTGCTCTGACCTATGGTGCATAAAAATCACATTCCTCCTTCTAGGTCAATGATTCAGAAGAGCATCAATAACCTGCTAAATCAGTTCATGTTTCATTTTCATGCAGTTAGATATCACTATGATTTTTCCCCTATAACAAATTGCTAGTATTTTCAGATTAAAGAAACAGAAGGTTCTTCTGTAGTGATCCCAAACCACAATACATCAAAGCTAAGTACATAAAATATGTTAATTCTAACTGATATTAGGAAGTTGCAAATTGCTATGCTCCATGAGGACAGATTTTAACCTAACTTAGGAAATGTAGGTTAACTGTTTTCTTCAAAGTAATAAAACCAACTAACAATAACAAACTCATTCTGTTTAATGATCACTATTGCAAATTCTTCCAGAAGGCAGGCTGAAGAGAGCTCCTTAATTAGCCTGACAAGTGAGAAAGCCATGATGTGTTTTCTTTCCCAAACCATACAGAGGCCTGATACTGGATGAGACACATCTGTCTCAGAGAAGACAAAATACAGGCTCAGAGATGTATACAAAATCTTGAAAGTAACACACTTCTTCAGTGATTTGATTATCTGGATTTAATTACAGTAGAACTACAGGAAGAAACAACTGACCAGCTTTTTCATACTTCTATATTTGCTATTACTATGTACAGCCATCATTTGCCATTTTAATAGCACATTACTGCTACTCCATCCAACCCAGCTTGAAACTGCAGTTCAGAGCAATTATTCTGACAATTACAGTGAGAATTGCTGGAAAACTGAGGCAGTTTGTCCACAGAGATGTGAGATTCAGTATGTGAAGAGGAACAACTTCTACATCAAAAAATGCAGGGAGAAGAAGAAATCATTACATATAATTAAACCTATTTCAGCCTCTTTCCAAAGCTGAATTAATAATTAAGTAAGTACCAAATTGTCGGCTATTGCCTTTTACACAAAGTCAAAAAGTAATATATTTTATGTATTAAATAAATTTCCACTGCCTAAAAAATGAATGTAGAAAAATAAGCCAAATTTCAGAATCTCCTAGTTTACCATTCTTTTTCTCACCTCTTATTTCCTCTGTGAAAGAAGTACACAGAACTTCCATGAGCTTCAGGGTCCTGTTATACCTTTGTGGCTTCAGCTTGAACCAGAAAGATTTATATGATTTTGTCCAATTATGAACTATAACCCGTAAGCAGTTGGCAGTTTCATTTTTGCCATGGTTACCACCACAAAGGGGCAGCAGGGCTATTAGCCAGAGCAGTTAAACCATAAAATGCTGCAGTTAATGATGAAAAATTCTTCCCTGACTCACACTAAATAATCATTGAACAATTAATGCAGGCATTATAAATGCACCCCCTGAGTACTAAAGCCAATACCCAAAAGCAGGAAGTAAATAGGGATCTAGAAATTGGAATACTTGCCCTGGAGTGATACTTCACTAAGCAGTAATGTAGCTGAGTTCATTTACTCATTGCATGCTGAGAATTCTACCAGGAAACAAAATACACTGTGCACAAGTCAACTGTGCAAAGCCAAAGACTTTAAAACAAAATATATACCATGGTCAAACCCACGTAACCAACATTTGCCACACTGTGGCTAGAAATTTTTTTCTTT